TTCCAAGAAACAGCCCAAGCCCCAGATATATGGTAAGTGCATGTTCTTTTCTATACCCAGTCTGATTCCTATATACAGGTCTCCGATGTTTGAGGCTGAAATGGAAACGTTAAGAGTGGCAAATGGTGACCTGTTGGAGGGTCTTTCTATGTCAGTGTTTCGGTGGCCTATGTAAACTCTTGATGAATAACTGAATAACTTCCGCATATGTCAATTCAAACGGGGGTGTGTACTAATCAAGAGTCTACATTACTCAGACCCGGCAATGCTTCGATTGTCCGTGTTTGTCCCGCCCGGCTCCGAACGGCTCCCCGATTCATGACAAATATAGATACCCCCGAGCTCCGGAGTGGCTCCCTCCTTAGCACAGCTGAGCTGTGCCAAGGATGGCCATTTCTCCAAGGCCCAGGCCACAAGGCGCAAAGCCCAAGCAGAAGACGAGGAGTTCTGTTCTAAACGTTCCACCCGACCAATTCAGTCCATGAGTCAGCATTTGAGGATATTGAGGTCAAAGGTTTTAACAAAAATGATCGTAAAGCTCTGAACTCACAACCACTTACAGTACTTGGTTTCATGACTACTCACCTCCTCCCCAAAAAACAACCCATCCAGTGTTGCCACGCCACGTTGGTCCCTTTATGCCCTTTGGAGTGGAGAAAAAGCACCGGACTCTGCCGGGGCACCGGTGTCAAGGTCTGGGAGTGCTCGTGGGGCGGCGGCCCCGGCGTGCCGAGCGTGGGCGGGGGCTCCAAGAGGGACGCCTTGGGCTTCACCTGGAGGGTCTTAGAGCTGGTGCCGGGTGCTCGGGCCTTAGAGCTGGAGGCCTTTTCCACCCTGTAAGTCCAAGACCAATGTTTCTTTTAGGTTGATCTGGTTTTGCAGTGCAAAACCATGGTTGTTCGGGATTCAGGCTATTAAAACAATGGTGGTTCGACTTCTAGGGTATGGGCCTTCCTTTTGAGGGGGTATGCACCAGGACTTACAAGGGGTGGTTAATTAATGGACACCCCTTTAACATCTAAGGGGCTATCAATAGAAGCCCCTTAGGGGGTCTTGGTATAGCTTACTGAACTATACTGAACTCCAGTTGAGCTCCGAATGTCAAAGACATGACTGCACTGAAAGACTCTGAATGAGCTCATCCCTTAGTCCATGTCCATGGACATACTTGTCAGACTCGTCGGCGATTTTTCCGCCGTGAGATATCAGCGACTTAAAGTCGGGGTCCAAAGAAGGAAGAAGAGATGCGATGGACACACACACATCACATCGAACTGGATGGCATATCCATTTGGAAGACAACTTTCCTTTGGTGGATGTGACGGGGTGAAACTCCACTTCCAAGTGCTCGGAGGTGTCGGGTAGAGAGGTTGCAACCGGTCCCCCGGATTTTAGGTCCGACATGGTCCGCGAAAAAGCACCAAACGTTTGGAGCCGCTCTCTCCATTCAGCTGCAAAGCTTGAGCGGAGCCGCTCACGAAGCGCCCGAAAGGGATCCACCACCGACGAGGGGCACTGAGAGGGGACCAGTGGACCCGACTGGATCAATCACTGCACTCTCCCTGCACCCCCCAAACCCCATCTCAAATCATCCACCATCTCAAAAACCCCGCCCCTTCTCCCACTCCAGACTTGTTTCCTTCCTCATTTCTTGCCACCCCATCTTGCCCCTCCCCCCCCTGAGCCTCGCGGGAGGGCGACGGTGCCACGTCTCCCCCGCTCTGCTGCGACAGCTCGCTGGGGCGCCCCGAGGCGCTGGGCCCGATGGGCGTTCCGTCGTGCACCCCGGAGGGCGAGGGCGAGGGCGGCGAGCTGGGCACCATTGACGGGTGGTTGTCCGGCAAGCGCAGGTTGCTCATCCTCCGTTGCCTCCGGCGGGCGCTTCGGCAGGCGGTTCGGCACGGCGATGAAGGCGGAGTGGGGGAAAGGAAGGGGAAGAACTTCCACGGGAAAAAGCAACGGAAGCAGGGTGGACAGGGGTGCCGGAAGAAGGGCCTGGGCCAAGAACGAACGGCCGACATCGGCACGGAAGGGACATCCATAGAAATAGTTTATATAATATGGAGTACAAGCCTGTGCTATGACCCGCCTGGCATAGATCTCTTCCTTCCCACCAAACCTCCGCCGTCCACAGCTTCTCCCCAATCCAACTTCTCCCCCCGCCACGAAGCTTCTCCTCCCCAACTCTGGGTGCCCCGGACCGCTCGATCTTCTCGGCGGCGCCGCCCGGCTCGTCCTCCATCACGATGACCCGCGAGTTCCTCCGATGCCCCTTGTCGTGCCCCTTCTCCTCGCGGCGCGGAGAACGCGGGGCAGCGGCGCGGCGGTTGAGAACGTGATTTCAACACGGCATGGCGAGGGGAAGTGCACTGCGGCCTGCGAAGGAACGCAGGGGTGGTCAGGCGGATATGGTGGCACACACGAAGAAAAGTCGGGGCCCACCTGACTATGCGGCTATGTCCTTTGTCTTTTTGGGGTTTGGGGTGGTGAGATGCACCCCCTGTTTTGAGTATACAAGTTGGATTTCCAACCGTGTGGTTGAGACGCTCACTCGCTGAACCAAACTCTGCATCTCCTTCTTCTTGGAGTCATTGAAGGCTCTCAGGGACGGCGCCGCCTGCCGCAGGAGTCAACGCCAAGCAAGCTTCCTACTCCCGGGGGGAAAGACATTCGACCCATGAAATGATGAGTGAATTCTAAAAATTGGAACATACATAATCATACATGAACATATACAACATACTGAAAAATGTTCTGCTATTTCATCACGTCAGTGACTAGTGACCCCAAATCCAAGGGAAAACAAGAAAAGCACAGACCTTCACCGACCCCTCAAGCCCCCCCCCGCCACCGCGCGCGCCACCCACCTTCGTCGCTCGAGTCACTCAACTCCTGCCCCCCAAAATGGGATCACTCACCCGCCGGTCCACGCTCACCCAAAAGAACGACCAGGGACCCAACCGGCCCAGGTCCGGCCAGCCCGGGTCCGCCCCAGGTCTAGCGCTCCCGCGTCTCGGAAGCGGAGGACCGCGAGCGAAAGCGCCAGACCGAAGCGGAGCGCCGTTCGGACGGCGCGGCCGGGAGCGGCCGGGAGCGGCGGCCGGGTCCCGGCGCCCCGCGGTGGGCGCGCGCCTTGTTCTTGGCGCTGGCAACGCTCACCGAGCCGCGCCGCACCTGCTGCGCCACCAGGGCGGCGCTCTCGGCGGCGGAGGCCTTCTGCGGGGAGAGACCCATGAGCTCCGGCCGCAGGTCGCCCTTGTTCACCTGGTGCAGTCGCTTCCCGCTGGTCTGCTCAACCCCAAGCAAAAACTGGGGTGGGGCGAAGGACATGATGGAAGTAGATGATGCCAAGCTGGATGGGGAAGTCCCAAGTCATTGAACCAAGGTGCTTTTTAAGAGTTCATGGTTGGCATTTAGTTTGGAATGATCGGAGCTTTCTTGTCCATTTCTTGAACCCAACAGAGTTCTTGTATGCTCAAGGGATTCGGCCATCACCCCACGTTTTCTGGGTGCTCCTTCGAAAGCCCAGTCTTACTTCACTAGACCTCCCACTCCCGATGGTTTGTTTGTTCATGTTGTGTTCACCCCGAACCCGCCACCACCCCTCCCACCTTTTCTTGCTCCTCATCTTCCGACGAGGAGGAGGACGAGGAAAACCCACTCTTCTCCGCCAAGTGGTGGCTCTCGGGACTGTCGGGACTCTGCTCATCCTGCACTCGTTCCTCCAGCTCCTCGCTACTGGACGAAAAGCCACCTTGGATTTGCTTCAGGACCTAGAAAATCACAAAATATTCACTAGAAAGGGCCTAGGGGATTGAACCAATAAGGAAAATATGGGAAAATGGTGTTCAAAAGAATCACCTCAAGCAAAACCAGGGCCACTCTTCTCACTGCGCATGGACTTCGCCGTGCCCTGCTCCGCCGCCTCCGCCTCCTCGGCCTCCTCGGCCTCCTCCTCCTCCCCGCTGCTGGACCCGAAGGCCTCGCTGCGGGAGATGTCGGCCGGGTCGTCCGGAGCCTCCGGGTCCGGGACAATGGAGGTCAACTCTCCCTTGGGCATGGCGGCCAACGGCACAAGGGGTGGAAGGGGAGAGAGAAGGAGCGAAGCCTCCTGGCGGGCGGCGGAATGGATGGCCTGACTGGTCGACTGGCTGGCTGAAGGCTGAAGGCGGAACTTACTAGGTCATACTAGGCCTGAGGTATTGAGAGCATTGCTCCTGACAGCTGCGTGGGCCTCACCACTTCAATTCGTCAATCCTGGCTAAGTGCCTGATTTAATCAGGCAAGCATACCTCGAGCAAAAGGGCCCGGCGTGGTCGGCGTCTTGCGTCTTGCGTGGTCGGCATGGGTCCTGGTCCGATGTTGGTCCAGGGAAGCGGACACAATGTGGATTCCCACTCGCAACTCCCACCAGACCACCAGATTTACCCTCAGGTGGAAATCCTTGGCACTTTGATCGGGACCGGATTGGGAGCTCATTCATCATCGGCCAATATGAAAGACTCCAAGAATGATCTGACAACGGCAACGACGTGCCGAGAGGTTCTCCAACGCACTTGCCTCTTCTGCGGTCCAGAACTACGAGTCCTTCCACTCTTGCCAGGAGACGTGACACCGTGGCACCCTCCCACAATGATGGAAGAAAACATGTGGACCAAGACCCCAAGACCCCAAGACCCTTCTAGTCTCGCGGATGGGCACGAACAGCATGTTGGGAGAGCTTCTGCCGTGAGGTTCCCAAAAGATCGATCGTTCCCAAGCAGGATGGACACAGAACATTGACCTACCAGCAGTCACAGAAGGTTAGGTGCGATCCATGGAGGTTAGGGGTGCCCCTGTCACATCCACTCACTTAGGGCTTAGGGACCAAACACCACCCCTTTGTGACTGCTGGCATGTTCACCTCGCTTCTTGGGTGTTGGTTTTTGTTCGCCCACACGACTGCCGCACCACACCACACCACACACCTCAGATCGTCACGACGTGGAGACGGCACTCACCTTCAGCTCCGTCTCGCCCGGGGTCAAGTAGTGCAGCTCGTGATCGTCCCGCGCGCACAGCAACAGCGAGTCGCCCAGCCAGCAGCAGGCGGTGACCTACGAAGACGCTCGAGTCTGAGCAGCAGGCAGGACCGGTGGGAGGATTGGGAAGGATTGGTTTCAAGTCTGATGGGATGATCCATGAGAGGAACCAGCGTTGGGGCAAGGACAACAGCTTCTGAAGAGTTGCTTTCCCTGTGGGCATCTGTAGACACCGTAGACACGGTTTTCACAGCTCCATGATGGGAAACGTTGAAAGAATAACCTAAAGGCCCTAAAGGACTACTATAAGTCAACCTATGCCAGCACCTCCAAGAGGTGTCTAAGTCTATGAATAGCCTCTTAGAGGTTAAGGGGTGTCCAAAAACCACCGTTGGAAGGTCCTGACGGAATCCTGATAGATTCCGACTCGCCAAGATGTGGCCACTTGGGACGTTTGGGAAGAGGATTCTGCCGGACCAGCGTGAAAACGTCCATGGCACGGACGTTGAGGAGGTCAGGTGCCACATGGACACCTCCAACCCAAAAACCACAGTTCGTCCCAGGTCCATCTTCAGGTTCTGAAGTCGAAGTTGTAGAACCCGTACCCGCGGGATGGGCTGGATGGACTGGTGCATGCAGATCGGACAGCGCCCAGCGGCGGAAGTTCGGTGGATTCTTCGAGCCGACTGGAGGAGAAGTGAATGTGGCGAGGGAAACGCTGGAGAAGAGTGGTTTCAGGGGCTTTCGTGGATTTTCCCTATGAGTCACCATCTTGGCGGAAAGCACACCCAAGTGATCTCCAGCTCGGTTTCCAGACCTCTCCGGCCATCGTCCAGGCACCCAGCAGGGCAAAGCTGCCCGTTCGGTCCCCTCAGCACGGATCCCCAGGCTGTCCAGGACTTCCCACCACCTCCAAGGGGCAAGTGGAAGCGTGGTAAAGCGAGTCGGCCCCTCAACATCCTTACAGCTTGGGACCCATTCCCAAGCGGCAAAACCATGTGTTACATGTGGCAGGTCTACCAGTCATGGCGGGGAACTTTCACCAAAGGGGGAGCTGGTCTGCAAAGATATTCCCTGGCTTGGTGTCCGCAGCAGGAATATAAGAAATCGACACCAGTGTGTGAAAATGATTAAGCGCCCGTAGATGTCGCAAGACCGCCGCCAAAGCCCCATCTGGGCCCGCGCATCACTTGGTCTTATGACATACGCCTAGAAATCCAAAGACTATATTTTGCACTCCCGAAGTCAAGGACCTTCCTTCTTCCAGTCGCCTACAGACCACTCTTTATAAACAAAAGGTCTCTGGGGCTCCTCCCGGGTCCCATGCCGCGACAACGTCGCTCCCGAGCGGCGGCGGTAGACCTTGGCGCTGTGGTCGCGGGAGATCGTCGCGAAGTGTTCGCCGTCCTCGGCGAAGCGCCCGGAGGTCACCTGCCGCAGGGCTCGCTGCAGGCCCTGCACTACATGATGGACCTCCAGCAAGGACAGTTAGGAGATATATATATATATACCCGTCCAAAGACTGTTTTCGGCACCGCCCAAGTAAAGGAAGTTCCTGTTCGGATCACCTAAGGACCGTCTTTAAAATGGTCTTGGACTCCCAGGGTATATATATATATATGCATATGTATATACATGATCTTGGTGTACATGTATCATCGTGTATGACACGCACCGCACCGCACAAGCAAAAGACTCCACTCCTGGACCGACAGCTCTGTCCCAAGAGCCAAACAACCGCCCTGTCCCGCCCAACCGCCAGCAACAGCGCAGGGGGGGTGGTCCCCATGGCACCTGCTTCTGATGATCTTTGAAGCTCTGAAGGTGTTGGAAAGTGAACTGCTCCGCATCAGGGTAGCCTGAGCCGCAAAGCTGCAGGAGTTGCGCCTCGCCACCCATCGTAGTCCTCAGGCGATGGAGGGAAACACTCCTCTCATGTTCAGCGTCAAGGACATCAATAACCACATGTCCTCGCGATCTGCCTGGTCTTGGGTCGTCCCAGTTTAGCAATTAATCAATATTGAATCAATATCCAACATGTTCCAACTTCTTTAGGCTGATGGATCATGATGCTTCACGGGTCAATGACAAAAGCCTCAAGCGTTCCACACGCTTTTGCCACGGACCGAGTCGCACCAACACCTGGCGCTCGAAAACATCCAGCGCCAAGGGCGGGGAGGACAAGTCCTTGTACTCGACCACGCCCTGAGGCGTTACCAATCCTCAGCTCTAGTCTCGGCCAAACGATGGCCAACACAACAAGCCATTCGCAAGCCAATCCATGCCCTTGTTGGGCCCCTTATGGTCCCCCAGCTTCACCTCCCAAAATCCAACACCTCCAAAAAACCCGCCTCCGCCAAGCCTCGCAGCGTCCGATCCGCCGTCGCCACCAGGACCCCGCGCTCCGCGCGCGGCGCCCACTTCACCGCCGTGACGTTCGCGCCCAGCGCCGCCAGCGCCGCGTCCGCGGCGCCGGGCGCGGCGCCGGTGCAGCAGACGCCCGCGGCGAGCGCCTGGAGGGCTTCTTCGGCGGCCTCCGAGCGGGGGAGGAGGGCAGGGGTGGAAAGGAGATGAAGAGATCCCTTGCTGAAGGGCATGTGGTTGGCATGCCCATGACCGACCCTTGGCACTGAATCAACATTAGATCACCCATCAGACCGGTCGTTCCAACCCAACATGTTACATCAATGTTGAAGTTGCATCATGGCCAGTTGTACTGATTGTTTCTATTTGCAAGCATCCAACAAAACTCACCATGGCCAAATCTAGCGAGTTTCCGGTGAGACACCGGCAAGTATGATAGTGTGTGTGTGTGTGTGCCGGCAGATCTACAGTACATAAAATACGTGAAAAACCCTTGACATATCTTGACATTACGCGACAACAAGTCTCACCTTCACCGTCCCCAAAAAAGAACCAACCCTCCAATCTAGGACCTAGGATGCCCAAGCCGCACGCAAGGTCTGCACTTGTTTTGAGCACCTTTAGGGTGCTGCCCATGTTCTCCAGCTCGCGCATCGTTGCTGAGCCCACAAATATTAAAAGGATCAAAAATCAAAAGGGAGGAACTCGCGAAACAGTCTTTCAAGGTACAAGTGGAAAGGCTCACCTTGCCGACTTTCTGTCTCTTCCGTGAGAAAAATGCCCAAGCACAAGCAACAGGGAATAAAATCCACACATTGACCTTCCAGGAGATGTTGAATTCCTGGAGCAAATTTGTGGCGTTCCCTCTCTGGTAGTTTGTCTAGATCTTGCTTTAAATCGCGTCCAAAAGATGACTCCTCCCAATTCTTCAGCTCAAACAGGACATAACTAAAAAAAAGGAAAGTTTCGATTGGTATTTGCTGCTTCTGCTTCTCTCCAGATTCCAGCAAAAAAGATTCCTCTGCCAGCGGAAATGGATAGGTTTGCGAAAGGCGCCATACAATGGCCTCGAGCAGTATGCCTTTCGGTCGTGTGGCTTTTGTGAAGCACTTTTTGACTCCAACTATGGCATGTCTGGCTGCAGGCGTTTTTTTCAAAAACTCATTGATGCGCAGTGAATTCTCATAAAAGTCTTCCCCTCCACGAAGCCTCGGAAACTCCTCAGGCCGGGGATTTGCCAGCACAAGGTCCACAGAAAATAAGTCGTCGATGGCGAACTTAATTGCAATGCGTCCGATAATCACAGGCCCGGTGACACCCTCGCACTTCTCCAGGTTTGCTGCCACCTTGAGTTTGTCAGTTTCTGTGAACAATGTGTCAGCCTGACTGCTTCCGGGACGCCTCCTCACCTGAATATCCAGGTCAGAGACTGAAGCACCGAACTTGGGCAGAAGCAGTGACGTGCGTGTACCACAAGTTTGTTTCTTCACGGACCCAATCAGTTCGACAACAACATCATTGCCAAGAGCATGGCGACATGCCCTCCTTACCTCAACCCAGGCCCAGTTCCACGCATGCACTTTTGTAAGATCGGGCGCCGTAAATAGGAGGAACCCGTTTGCCACAAGGTCTAGATTCCTCAGACCGATTTCTTCCTGACGTGCACTGGGAATAGTCCCCCACTTCAGCCTAATTTTGGTCAGCAATTCACCGATGCGCGGGTTCCCTTCAAGATCCGAGAGCGAAAATGGCCAAGGATGTTGATGAGCTCTGCTTGGCCATAGTGGGGCTGAACAGGCACAGAATGCGCCCACGATGCCGGCCACCGACGATCGCGCGAGAACGCTCGGCCTTGCCTTCGTGAGCATGGCGTATGGTATGGGTCGTGGTTGTGTATGCCAAAAACTGACGCGACAAATTGACGGTTTAGGAATCCAGAATGCCAATCAGTGGTTAAGGCTGTGAGTTCTGCTAAGGAATGAATGACCTGCTATGTTAGACATGCAACATGTAGAAGGCCCTCATCACGCTGGAGGCCTCCTGAAGTCCCTCATGATCAGCCTTCCACAAAGTCAGTCGTGGCGAGTGTCCAAGCCGAAAGCAATGGGGGCGGCCTCACTGACCCGTGAAGGTCCAGCACGAACGTGGCGGCTGCTCAATTCCGGGAACCCGATCTTGACAATTACGTATGTATTGTTCATTATATTATATAGAATATATACATATCCACCGACCCCGGCCTAGCTGACGCCTATAGGCGGGGCGGCGCTTGGGACACCGCAGGGTGGAAGCCGTTGCCTTGCAGTCTCCAGAACAGCTGCCCTTTTCCCTTTCGACCTGGCTTTTGCAGCCTCCAGCTGGGACCTGCCCTGGACTCCCTCTCTAAGGGGTTTCCGAAGGTGACATTCGCAAGCTTGCAGCTACTTGGGGCTTGTCCTGGCCGAGGTTTTGGCGTGGTCCATGGGCAGCCGGCCAGACGCTGCTTTGGGCAGCTAGCAGCCTCCAGCTTGGACCTGCCTAGATCCTGCTCTTGTCCGGGTTCTCCATCATGAACAGGCGGTCTTCTTTCACCTGAGTCTCACATTGCTTGCATGTCCACTCCAAAAAAGGCCTCTGTTCAGCACGAAGTTCCTCAAGAACCTCAGGTCTGCAGTGGTAGTTGGCATTCTCATTCATGATGCTGTAGAGCGTGCATGGGAAGCCGACCAACAAGAGATAGGGCCGGAACCTCTGAATGGCATGCTCCACAAGTTTCTTGGTCTTGGGGTCTGGAGGTCCTTGCCGTCGTTCTTGTCAAATGGTTCCAAAGCGTTCATGCCGAAGGACTTGGCCATCTTTGTCGCTTTGGCTTCACCAGCAAGGATCTCCAGGATGTCAAGCATGTATAGGGCTTATCCCGTTCAGGTGGAAGAGCATTCAAAGTCATCACCTCACTGGTCCATAAGCCGGAAAGCTTCTTCATGTCGCCAATCAATCGCTTTCGCTTCCGGCGGCCAACTGTAGATGCTCTCCACCTCCTCGAACTCCTCTAGGATGTCGATGTCGTGGTCCTGCATCTCCGTTGCCGGCTTGCCATGGCCCGCTGCCGAAGATGTCATGGAAGGAGGCCGAGATCTGCTCATAGAAGTCCTGTTCTGTCTCAGGGCCATCGACGAAGCTGCCACCGTCGTTGCTGCCATTGTTGCAGCCATTGAGCCCTGACTCTGCCTGGGCGGGGAAGCCTTGGCCACGTGCATCGGAAGAGGTGCTGGTAGAAGGTGCTCTGGGCATCCTGGTGCGGCCAAATGTGGTTGCACTTCCCCTTGGTAGCCCGGTGGCTTGATTGAGCCATCCAGGAATTGGCAACTACCTCGGGCTTGTCCTGGTCCGTGGGGGCTGGCCGAGACACCTCCTGGACGCCAGGCACCGGCAACGGCCGGCCCGAAACGGGACCCTCGTCCATGGGCAGCCGGCCATAGGCTGTTTTTGGCAGCTACCTGGGGCTTGTCCTGGTATGGAGGCTGCTTTTGGCAACTACTTCGGGCTCGTACCTCTATCTATCCCTGGGGCTGGCCTGGACACCTCTATCCATTCATTGGGCTTCGAAGGCGACGTTAGGCACTGGCAACGCCCAGGCCCGAAACACCTCAGAACCCCTTAGACCCTGGTCGGGGAGCCGGCCATGGGCTGCTTTTGGCAGCTACCTGGGGCTTGCAGTTCTGCCGGTAGTTCAACAGGGAATTGCGTGGCCAAGCTGTGAAGACCGGCACACAAGTGATCGACCAAGTGCGGGGTCACCTCAAGGCGTACTTACCAATAGCATCCATGCTAAGTGCGCAGCTGGGTTGAACCCCCACAGTATGACGTATGTGCGGAGTTATCAGTTTCGAAGACACAGTAGTAGTTGGAAGGCACTGCGGTCAAAGCCTGTGGAAGACAATGGGCCAAAAATGTCTGAAGTGTTGACGACGTCTGGCTGCTGCATAAAACACAAGGGACGAAACTTTCCGACACACAACACGTAATTACGGTGTGAATTGCATCGAAAATGCTCCCTGGAGTTGTAAAATCAATACAAACAAATCATCAAGCTTAGACAGAAACGAGCTTAAGTCATGCATTTTCCCTGGAAATCTCACTCCCTACACAAAGTGCCGTGCGCTGGAAACTCTAGGGTGCTTAACAACGCCGGCACCTTGGTTGAGGACATTTAGGGTGCTGCCCATGTTCTCCCGCTAGTGCATCGTTGCTGAGCCCGCGTATACAGCGGGTCAAGCATAAAAAGGGAAGAACTCCCGAAGCTGAATTTCAAGGTAGGCACACCGTCGGGGCACTCTTCCTCTGCCACGTCAAGAATGTCGCGGAGAAAGCACAAAAGATAAACATGGGCGCATTGCTGGAACCTCTCGATTCCTGGCAGGTATTTGTCCCGCTCCCTCTCTGGTAGCTTGTCTAGATCTTGTTTCAAATCACTTCCGAAAGGTGACTCCTCCCAATTATCCAGCGCAGACCAAACATAAACAAAAAAAACTAAAACTTTCGATTGATAGTTGCTCCTCTCCAGGTTCCAGCAAAAAAAGATTCCTCTGCCAGCGGAAATGGATAGGTTTGCGAAAGGCGCCATACAATGGCCTCGAGCAGTATGCCTTTTGGTCGCCTGTCTTCTTTCCAGAACTCTTTGACTGCAAGAACAGCAACATAAGCTGCAGGTGTTCTTTGCAAACACTTGTTGATGCGCGCTGAATTCTCATAGAAGTCTTCCCCTCCACGAAGCCTTGGAAACTGCTCCGGCCGGGGAGTTGCAAGCACAAGGTCGACAGGTATTGCGTCATGCGTGCTGAACTTAATTGCAATGTTTCCAATAGTAACAGGCCCCACGACAGATTTGCATTTCTCCAAGTTTTGTGCCACCTTGAGCTTGTCGGTTTCCGTGAACCATGTGTCAGCCTGATTGCTTCCTGGACACCTCCTCACCTGAATATCGATATCAGAGCCATGTGTGGAAGTAAGGGCCTTGGGTAGGGACCCAATATACTGGACAACAATATCATCGCCAAGGGCATGGCGACATGCTGCCACCATCTCACTGTTGAACCTTTGGCTTTGCAAGTAATGGAGCATCCTGCCTGATCCGAAGTAGCCTCGCAAAACTGCCCATGTGAATCCCTCTCTCAAACGGCCGAAGTTCCTCTCAATGAACTCTTTCTTGTATTCATCGGAAAGACTGTCCCACTTGGAGCAAAGCTTAAGTATTCTAGTCGATCTAGTTGTTCATCCCCGCGATCTGGACCTTCATGAAGAACATCCGTATGTACAAGCGAAAATGGCAATCGATGTTGATAAACTCTGCATGGCCATAGGGCTGAGCAAGCACAGAACGTACCAACTATGCTGGCCAATGGCACTCGCCCAAGAATGCGGTGGCTAGCTGACCATCGCTTTGCAAACACTTGAGTAGGCATGAGTCAGAAAATGTGTTCTTGCCAATGTTTGAAAACACGTTTGGAACCCTGGTGTTGAATGTTGGCCCGCAGTAATGGGAACTCCTCATCAATCCAGCATGCCAATCAGTATTGTTGAGATAGGAATGACCTATATACTATGTTCAACACGTGTAAGGCTATCTTTGCATTGGAGGCAAGTATACTCACGTGAAGTCCCGCATGATCAATCTTCCATGAGAGTCTGACTCCTGCTTCGATGCGGACAGGCCTAAACAATCCTTAAAACATGCTTGCTGGCGCCTTTGTTCTAACAAAATGTTGGGAGATGGGGTGAAAATCTATGACACCATGGAACCACGGCCATTGATTCGGCCGGGAACGGCCGACGGCTCCTCCAGAGCTTGAGCCGGGGCCGGTCGACTCCCGAAAGTGAACGAAAGGAGAAGTCCCTTTCGGGACATCCACAGGGTGGAAGTCATTGCTTGCGAGAAGGTTTTCGCACGGCCTCACTTGGTGGCCTGCCGTTCTTGGTTTTCGCCAGTCTTTCTCGGTGTTCGCGAGTTGGTAGGTGTTTTCAGGCCCCACTTTTCATCGACCAAAGGTCGCAATGGTTTTTTAGTCCCATCCAGTGAGTGGATGTGACCAGGGCACCCCTATCCTCTGTCAAATAGGCACCCCGACATGGACCAAGCCCTCCACCTGTTTCCTCCCACCTTGGCATCCGCATCCTCCAACTCCGCGGCGGCTCCGGAGGACGCACCACTCCGCCCGAACATGTCCAGGCTGGACTGGAGCAGCCCGGCCACTGGCAGGTCGCCGTCCTTGGATATCATTTGCCAAGCAAGCAGTCCCAGGTGTAGGAATGACTTCTGGTCCCAACCAGTGAGTGCATGTGACAGGGGCTCCTCCGTTCGGAACCGGCACCCCGGCATGGAACTGCTGGAAGTTTGCTTTGATTACAGTATGTCAGTATGTGTTTCATCTGTTTTCAGATCATCTGAAAAGAAGAAGAAGAAGGCTTCAACAAGCAACCTGCTATCAACCCATGGTCGAACAAACGTAGCGGGGAACCTGGACCCCAGGAATGAAGCTGGTGATATGCAAATGGCCCCACCTGAACACCTTGCAGTGGAAGCCTGTTGGTTGAACACCTGGGATGAGATATGCTATGAGATGCTGACCATCCTGCTCAGGGTCTCACACCCGTGGTTCTGAGGCTCAAGAAGAACCAGTGTCTGGGTGGTCTGGTCATCTACCCTGCTCCGCCCCAGCTTCGCCCCGGTCAGTGCCCTCCGAGGGTCCACATACTTCACACCCGTTTCGCTCTCCAGCGCCACCAAGCTCTCGATGAGCTCCTTCGTTGCGGAGAGCGCCTGGACCCACGCCACTCGGCACCGTCGACGACCACCCGGCTCTTAGATCTCTTAGGCCGGCCTCTCGTGGCAGGAGGTGCGCTGAGGTCGACTGGGACACACTGGGACGACCGAAAATGGGCACAATCAGAGAGGAACAAACCACAAGGGCATCTGCCGCACTTGTCGCAGCCAACCACCGAGGGCTCTGAGCCAAGTTCCCACCCAGTCCTTCTCTTGCAGGAATTGGAGGATCGCTTTCAGCTGGTATCGCGTCCGCTCATCCAGCTCGTCGGCATCCACGGAGGACTTCTCCATGGGGCCGACATGGCCCACTTTCCCCAACATGAGGCTTGTGATTCCTAGTTGAGATGGCACTACTGAAGCACATGTGGGCAATGATCAGACCTCCGTCATGCCGAGGCTAGGAGGATACCATGAAACATCCTGAAACCACCACCAGGACGTAAGGGCTTGGTTGATGGTAAGCTGTTTGAAAGGTTTCGGCATCAAAAGCCAGCGTGTTGTAGAAGAGGCACTGGAGATGAATCCAGCCACGATCACGGGTGTTTAACAGGACTTGAGGGTGTCCCAAGTGGATACTGTATCTCCCAAGTGTGGCTTTCTTTGGGCTGTGGGCTTTCCAAGCCTCCATGATGTCCCTCCACAAAAGCACAGCAGCTTGAGCCATGGCACCAGGGGTGTGGAACAGATCAGGGATTCTAACACCTTTGAGCATTCCAATCGGCTGTCCCTGGCTCCTTCCACCCAGGGATTCTGGCCTTGTCAAGTGAAAGTCTCCACCAACAACCATAGTTTTTCCACCTCCACTCCCCAGCGCTGCTCCGGCTTTTCCACCTCCTCCGGCCAAAGACGACGCGCAACCAACGCCCCCCTCCACCTCGGTCAGCAGCTGGTCATAGGCCGCGTCGAAGGCGTCGCGCGCGCGGAGGAACGCCGCGACGTCCAGCACAGAGCCTGGGCCGAAGCGGAGCGGCCGGTGCCTGGGTGCCTGGGAGCCGGTCGAGTGATGGGAGGGAGCCCTCCCTGGAACGAACGTGGATGGCTTTCCCTTTCTGAGGGCGGGGGAAAGCGTGTGTGCAAGTGTGTGGGGTGCGATCCCTTTGCTTTGGTGCCCTCCAAAAAGGTCACCATGAAAGTGGATGGCACAACCCCTCTGGGTGGAGGAAAAAACGCCTTCCTTTCGGGGCCAGGATATGTGGATGTCATCATGCGGGTTGAGAAACTATGGGAAACCAAAGTCTTGCTGGTCGTCCATGTGGGGGTTTGGCCCAACAATAGTTTTGAGACTCCATGACTGAATTAGATGCAATCTTGGCAAACCTGCCACCGCACACTAATGAGATTCCGGTACTGTAGACTCTGGCCCGAATGTTTGTTCAATCCAAACGGGGGGGTCATGTCATGTACGAACACAAGCGTCTACATCCGATTCCGTGGCCAATGATTTTCTCACTCCTAACCTGGCCGACCGGAAGCTCGCGGAAGCTCACGCCGCCTCGCCTGACCGGAAGCTCGCGGCGTTCAGCACCTCGCTGAAGGGTCGTGCGATCTCCGCACGGACCTCCAGGCCGCGTTCTTCGGACGTGCGACCTTTCGGGTGAACGCGCGGGGGACCACGTTGCCTGGGTGAGGAAGGGATTGCCGCACGCGAAGAAGTCCAAGCAGACCTCATGGAACGACGGTTTTTCGGGCGCAAGCATCGACTGCACGTGATCTTCACTGCTTCATGAATTCCAACCGTAAACACTTCTGGGCAGTCTGGCAGTCTGGGTCACCCACACCACGACGCCCTTTGAACACCCAACTTTCTATGCAGGCCAAGTTGCATCCAGAATCCACGGCTCCTCACTGCCTTGGCACAAGAGATGCGAGTCCATTTCTGTGGGTTTGTTGGAAGCCTGAGGTCCGGGTGGCTAAAAGTGGATGAAACTCCAGTGGCTGGCTGGGTGCCACTCTCATCGTTTTCGCATGCCAAATTACAGGCCTAAGCCTACACCCAAACCAATTGATCAATTGGTAGCTCGAGATGGCCATCTTGACCAGCTAGCAAGCCAAAGGGTTTGTCCAAGTAAAGCCGCTTACCAGCATGCAGCTCCCTTGTGTAATAAGCGACCAGGAACGAAGAACAGTGCAAAATACTGCCAAGCATCCATTCGAAACTCTCACAGGATGCACGTCGAACATTCAGGGCCTTTCCAGATGCCAAAACCCAACAATTGTCCTCCAAGTGCACGTGTATAACCCCCCCCTTCTGCACTCGGGACACCAACGCCCCCCCATTGCTGGGCGGGCTTCGGCCACCGCCCCCCCTGCTGCATCCAATGGGCCCAGCTGCACGGGCGGCGTCCCGTCCAGCTGCGACACCGCCAGCCGCAGTGGCCGCGGTGCCCGGAGCTCCGCGGGCGGGCGGTAGATGTCGTCCTGTGCCGGTGCTACCGGAGGCAGTCGCCAAGGGATCCAGGATCAGACATCTAGATTCCAGCTGCTGGGTGCCAGCTACGAAGGTTGATTTTTCTATGCCAAGATCTCGATCTTGGAGCCAGCTGCTCAAATACATTCCGGAGACCACCAAATCCACAAAAACCTGCATAGTTGGAAGATCAAGGGTCCGGCAAGCCCCACTCGCAGCTCCAGTCAGAATGCAGCCCCTTCGCAGCTCCGTGTGTGCGTGCTAGCTCATCGCCGCTCCGCTCAGCCCATTGGCTCGGTCTACCCCCCCAGCCTCCACGAAGTAGGGCTCGGCGCAGCTGATCTTGATGGATTCCACCATGTCCACCTCGCCCACCTGGTCCGGCGAGGACACGGAGCTGGGCGAGGAGGAGGGCCCCCTCCAGAAAGAGCGCCTTCTTCTTTGGTCCCGAGGCCACTCACTCGGTGTCTGTCATGGAAGCCAACGCACGAATTTCCGCCCCGCTGCGGTGGGCCTGAGATCGAACAGACATGAACGAACTGGAACCGTCTTTGGTGTCTGGGGACTGACGATGGCTTCGTTTTTTCGGCATGCTTACGCAAGAAAAACTTAAGCCCATCTTCCTCCAACAAATGCAAGGGTGTCCGAGCGCAGCCACGCGCCATGTTTGATTCTTCCACTCCGCTCCCACTCGAAACCATCAACCCCAATGCCTGCGCCGGCTCTTCCAGTGTCTTCTCGGGCACCTTCTCCGTTGGCAAACGCTTTGCCTCTGGGCCTGGCGCGTGTAGGTCTGGCAGGGTCCAGAGTTCCGCAACCAATTCCATATGTCGTCTGTATAAAATCTATGAGCTCTTTCAGCAGCATTGAAAGCTGCTTGAAGCCGAAGTGAACCTGCGACAGGTTCTGCCCAACCCACAACCGCCTTGCGCGGCTCGGCGCACGGCCTTCACCGGCGCCAGGGCGCGTCCCACCTGAACACCTCGAATCAGCGAAAGGACACGATTCCAACCTTGGCGCAAACCCCAAGCCATCCACCTCCACACCCATACTGTACCGCCGGCATCGCCATATCCGACCCCAAGGCGTTTTGACTTTTTCGCCAGGGCACGGTAGTCGCCATCGGCGATCTGCTGCGCCCAGGCAGGGCGTAGCCACCTGGGTTTTGACAACCAAAAGCCCCAACCCTTTTCCCTTGAACATGCAAGAACCACTGCTTTGGCAAGGACACCCTGGTGGTCTAGGGTGTCCTCTTCCAAGTCCATGTGAAGGGTCCTACTTTTGTCCCGGCGATGCAGTAGAAGCTCCAATTCACTATACACTGCAGTCGCTACACGAGCCAGCCACCACGCCGGGCCACCAAACACAGCTCAAGTGTCCAGCATAGGCTGCAGGCAGAATCCACTGCGCAATGCCCGCCACGTCGTTTCGCAAGGCGTAGTACACCTGCCGTTCGGTGCAGCATGGGTGCCATTGGCTTGGCACATGTTGGTATAACAGCAGTGTGTCTCACATCTGGTAGCCCAGCTGGGGTATGCCATAATTCACCTACTGGGTGAAAAAAATGAAAAATAAAACTTCCACCACTGAATAATTCGAAACATGATCTCATTCTTTGTGATCTGCTCCGACCAAGTGGCCAATCCAATCTTGCCTCCCCACCCAACCGGCCTCGCGAACGCGCGATGCCGCGTGAACCGTCGCGCCTGGTGGGGGTCTTCCAAGATCAGCTCCGCCGGCAGGGTGGTGGAGGCCGACAGATCCGGATGCGCATCGAAGTGGACCATGGTGAGACCCTCAAAGGGCACCTGACGTCACCCGTCACACGGGCGGCCACGCGCCGAGTGGAATGGAAGGAGACGGAGTGTGCCCCAGCTGGTGGAGGTGGAGGGTCCGGGGCGGAATGAGAAGGGTGAAGAAGCTCGGGCGGTGCGAGAAGCTCGACCTCCGAATCCACCAGGCACACGGAATCCCACCAGGTCAAGCTCCCATGGTCGCCGTTCAGAACATCCCACGTCTCAACCGAGGGCGGGTTTTTCTCGCCTTGCGGCGGCGGATGCCAAAGTGCAAGCACCGCAGGGCCTGCGGTCGCACCGCAAGGCTTGGGGCTTGGACGGCTCTTCGGCATCTTCTCACCTTTAAAAAGGCCGCCCCCGCATCCGTGCGGTCAGTCCTCATCATCGACTTGGATGGCCTGATGAAAAACCCTTTCAACATGACCCGTTTCATGCCCGTTTCCCTCACGTGTCCCTCAAACCTCTGGGGTTATTACAGGTCACTCACTGTCAGAAACTGTATAACTATCAACTGAGTTCCTCAACGGCCCCACTCACTTGGCGCCTCATCGTGGTACTCGCACACGAAGACCGGTGTGCCGCTGGCCCCGGTCTTCGCGCGCTTGGCCGCGGTTGGTTGCTCCATCGGCGCGCTCCATCGGTGGGGGTTCAGCGGGTTTGACCATCAAACAGTTTTGGATGATTTTTTTTGGTGTGTGTTGCATCTTCCAAACCCATCTGAAGGTTTTAGGAGATCTTTGAGGACAAAAGGCATGGGTTTCAGAGAGGTGTGCAGTGGGGAATCTCTTATATCTGCATGCAGCTGGGATGCGTGAAATGCTGGCCAATCAGAGTCACTGATGTGAACTATAACTATGTGATAGCTGCCGCACAGCTGTCACGATCACAGGTTACAATATACAGTACAATACATCACATCATCTGCCTTTGGACATCCACCTCGCACAGTTTTGGAGGTGGATTTTCCTTAGGGGGGGCTGCTTGTTCCAAACCCATCTTGGAGGTTTAAGAGATCTTTTGGAAAAAACAAAGGTGGTGTGTCTCAGAGAAGTAGTGGGCAATATGTAAAGGTCTGCATGCACCTGGCACGTGCATGCATGCCAATTGGAGTCAGGGATGTGAATGAGAATGTGATGGCGGCTGCACGGATGCAACAATCACAAGGTACATTCATTCTACGGTGTGTATATATATATATTGATATATATATATATATGAATCAGTGACTGAGTGTAAAAATCCATCCTTTCATGTCTTTTCTTCCTATCTGCTGCCATGAGGGAGCATGGACGAGGGACCGATAGTGGTGCCATTGCTTGGCACGGCCTTCCGGACTGTGCTTCCTTTGGCCACCTCCTCACCTCCTCATCCTCAGCCCACTGCACACGCTGCCCCCCCCTTTTTGACGAGGCGAACAGCCGGAGGATCTTCGGCACGCGTCCGGCCGCTTTTTTCGGATGACGGAAAAGGAGCGCTTGGATGGAGCAGTGGCCGTTCCAGCTGCTCACACGTCCTGGAAGCCGGACTGATCCTTGCTACCTGGCCATATGCCTTGCTCTGGTGGGAACATGGAAGTAGTCCGCAGCCTTCCAATCGCTTGTCCCTTGTAGAATCTTCAGTCTTGAAGTCTCGCGTGCCGCAGGTTCACTCAAGCCTTTGGAGGGTGTCCTTTGGGAACCTTTCCGCATTCATTCAGCCAGCACCACCTCCTCTTGCACCAAAGCTTGCTCAGAGAACACCCACCCAGCCACCCCCCCCAGCCAACCAACCCCCCCCCCCGCATCCCCCCCCCCCCCCCCCCCGCTCCCCACCTCTCCCCCAGCTCTCCCACGCCGATCCGTCGTCCGGGGTCCTTGATGACCACGATCTTGTCCTCCGCGCTCCAAGGTCTCGGGAGCAGCTTGTTCTTCGGGTTCACCACCCAGACCTTCTCCCCCTGCTCATTGCCTCAACCACGGCGGCGCGACCAGCTGTGCTTGGGAGGCCGAGGTTTCTCGGCTCGGCTCCCACAGAGCGAGAAACGGGCCCAACTTGCCCCAGGCACTTGAAGGGTCCTTCCTGAAAAAAGTAGACCACAAGGATGGGGGTTCGCACGTTCCAGAGAGGTCCTAGCGGCCCTAGCGACCTCAACACCATATCCCAAACTCCACTTCCTCCAATCCCAGCTGAGAGGGAACCGAACCCAAGCGCCGGCGCGCATGGTCACGACCCCGGCCCCCTCCGGTTGCTGTCCACGGAGCTCTCCGACCAGCCGATCACCACCTGCTGCGCCGCGCGGTTCACAATGGCCGCGATCTCCACGAAGGTGATCCTCCGGCGACTCCGTCGGCCAGGCGCTCGCCGCTCGCCGCTCGCCGCTCGGCGCGAGCCCCCGCGGGGCGAGGGAGCGAGGAGGCTTCGCGAAGGAAATTCGGCTGAAAGGAGCGGCTGCCATCTTTCTACAGTTAGGGGTGGACCACTGAGCTTACTGGCTGGGAGGGTCTTTGGAAGACCCTTCATATCCAAATGATCCTCCAAGGTCGTATGGATTCTGTTGCATTCGAGGGGGTTGGCCGACATGCTGGACTCGTGCGGTGGACATGTGCACCACTGGCGCCGGAGCCAGTTTGGTATGCTCAACTGAGCAGTGAACAAACATTGGGGTCAGAATCAATCTGGCCGAGCAGCTGCTGCGGGAGCGGCTGAGTTCCCAAGTAGTCCTTCAAGTACCTCAAGCCGCTGCCCGAAATCCAGAAGGATCATGACGGATCCAACCCCCGACCTCTTGAAACATCCACCGCACACCCATGGCTGACTGAACGGACATCACGAACCAAACTGTGCCGCGGAGAGGGGGCCGCTTCCGGTCTGGCCCTCCCACCATCCGTGGACCAAGCAGCACCTGCCACTGTCGACCTAACCATCCACATCCATCAACTAGGTTTGGCAGTCCATCTGCCCCTGCTGCCATGTCCTCCCAACTCCACACCTCCAAGCACATCCCCCAAGAATGCCCCGCAAGAATGCTCCAGATCGGTCTTTGACCAAAAATGCACTCGATACAAAGAAACCCCGGATATTAGATAGCCAACGTCATTCGTCCTTCTTGACTGTATTCACCCCAAATAGGTCCGTTTAAACAAATGAAGAGTGTTGTTATGTTCCTCAAAAATGTGTTGAACACGTGCGAGAACCGTGTCCGTCTCTTTCGACGGCCATCCTCTCGAAGCCGAACTCCGAGGCACATGATGTCCATGTTGTTCCCTGTGGCCGAGAGCAAGTCCGAAAGCACACCATGCGCCAGTGTGTCGATCGCCACCAAGGCCATAGCTTTGGACATCATCGAGATCGTATTGATGGTGTTCCTTAAGTTCGCACGGTGATGCCGAGAAGCATTGGGCAGAGGAGTTGGGGAGAGGTGATTCTCCGAACTTCCTTGGACCTAAAAACAACTGGCCCCGGGTTCCAAGTGACCCAGTTCTTCTGAGCCTTCCCAGTTCCAGGTCACTGGAAAAGCCTTCCCCTCAAAAGGTCACTTTGAAGAAGCTTGCTGGTGGAATTGGGATGGATGCACCTCCATTTGCAAGCGATTCTTGGGTCTTCACCCGTGCCGTTGGGTACGGGGCACCAGGAGCCACCAGCAAACCGAATGAACATTCTGTTGGGTGCACCGTGCGCAGTGGCATTTCAAAATTATTCTCAGTGCTTCGACTGCAAGGAGGAGGGCACTGGGCCCTGACTCTAAAACATGAGGTTGGAGGATTGAAACGCAACAAGAACTGAGGAAGCAAACTCCAAAACATGAGCTCGAATTGATGCAAGTGGAACATGGCACCTTGGAAGACCAATTGCTTCTCTCCCAACCTGGCGCTGTCCATCGAACTTCCTCATCGTCTTGTTGCGAATACGAGTTTCTCCACCAACCAACCGCCCCGCCAAAAAGACCGCGGCGACCGAGCTGCTGGATGCCACAGAGTTCCAGTTGCAGAGTGGCGTTCGGGGTGCAGACCTCCACCTTGGTGCCCCAGTCGTCGGTCGTGAGGTGGAATAATGTGGAATGGTCAGCTGGACAGGAGAAGGATAGAAGAGGTATAACAGGCGTTATTCACCTAGGCATTCCCCCACGCAGGATGGCAAGAGGGAGCAGGTCCACCCGCCGTATTCCTCTGTCTGAAATGGAGCATATATTAGATATTAGATCTATGCTGGGCTGCTTCTGGGTATGAACCGCCCTGCCTTAGGGAATCACATTCATTCAATCGAATTTGGACTGCCAAGTTTTGGCGAACTCCCTGGCATCTCCATTTCTATCAGGAAACCTGATGCTCTCAGTTTGAGATCTGGGTGTCTGACCAAAGGCTCGAACTTGTGCTCAGGGAAGCTCTCCTGCCAGGAGGAAAAGAAGCCACTTCATTGTAGACTATATATTCCATGGGTACCCCAGAATGGTCCTAAAGGGTCAGTTAACCTCTCTTGGAACCAATACATTGGTATGAACTGTTTGGGTCCCCTTTGTTTGTCTCATTGCATGCCGGCGTCTAGTCCAATACCCCCGCCTGGATCAAGCTCTTCATCTGAATGATCATCGCCACGGTCTGCTCATCGGCCTGCCGTCACAGTCGACCACCATGCATGTAGCAAGAAGGCCCAAACACCCAAGCTAGAGGGCGGAAAAAACTCCACACGGAGCACTAGTGCTGTTGATATCGTTGGATGCAAGTCCCAATCATATGAGCCACCAACCCTTTGCCATCCGTTTCCAAAGCACCTGCAAAACCCTGCTGCAGGGCCACTGGATTCCGGCGCGCCTTTTGAAAGCCCAAAGCCGCATCGGCCAGGACGAAGTTGAAGTCATAGTCCCTGGACTCAAGGCTCCGTCCAGCACAACAAGGCTCAGTGGCCCGGTGGCATGTGTAGGATCCAAAAAAAGAACCGCCGCTGGGAGCAATGCAACCTCTCCTTCTTCATTCACATACCCCTGAAATTCCAAGCCATGTCCATCCAAAGACCCCAATCCCTGTGTGGGTCCCCAGAACGTGCTTCACCCGGACCCTCTCTCTCTCTCTCTCTTTTTCCAGTCTCCGTGCAAGGGGCTGCAGCGGCATCACGTTGATCTTGTGTCGCGAGGTCATCTGATGCTGCGGAACTGTGAAGATCTTCCGCACCTCGTGAACCGCCCAAACCGGGTCGCGAGGCCGTTCCGCGCACGCACCTCGTGGTGAACGATTCCACACGAGGGGGGGGGGGCCGGCGCGCCGCGTGCGGATGGCCTATGCGGAATTTGGCCCTGCGGACGTGCCGTGAGGTGAAGAAGAGAGGAAACAAGAGGAAACAAGAGGAAACAAGTGGTTCTCTCACTCGGCTGCCATGGTTTCCCCAAGCAAGAACATGTGTTTTCTTTCATGGAGCGAGCCCGGAGATCATCCTGAGCTCACTGAAGCTCCGTGAGGGTTCGGAGAAGAAAAAGAAACCACCCAGGGCCGGTGAGAGACGCTTCCCGAAACCCAGAACGCAGCTCGGCCCCCGAGGCCTTGATGTTCTTCAAGGTCCTATCGGCTTCCTCCTCCGCGTTCTTGATGATTGAGATCACCTCATCTTCCTCAGCACCGTGACCGGCTTGTGTGTGACAACTGCCATGATCCTAGCCGCGCGGGCGATGTCTCATGCCTGAGGCCACTCAGTGGGGCCATATAGGAAAAACCAGGGCAATCAATCAGAACCTCATCGTCCTTCGCTTTTCAAACGAACTGTCAGCTTCAAAAGCAATAAAAACACTGAAAGATGCAAACCCAGCGTCTGACAGCGAGCAGTAGATGTCACACTCCTTGGCCAACACAGGGGCACTGATGTTCTAGCGAGCCCTGCGAGCTGCCCGAAACACTGGCAAAGGGAAAGAATCGAAGAAGAAAAGTCAAATGATGGTGGGCATCCTTCTGCCTCCAACATGGGGGGCGGTAAACAAACACCTCCAACTGACCCTCTTGCTGCAGTGAAACACCTACCCTACATCCTCCTGACCTCGGTCACCCAACAACAACCCCCCCTGGCGCCGGGCAGCAGATCCAGCTCCACACATCCTCAGCTCAGTGGGCACCGGGAAAGGTTGGACGCTCCAAAAAGGGACGGATGGAGGTTCAGCCGAGGCGCTCATCCAACGCCAAGAGGATGGCACAACCATATCCTGGCAGAACCAACTGGACCCCCATGGAGTGCACCACTTTGGTTCTGAAGAGGCGGAGATGGCTTGGAGGAGCTGAAGCCCAACCCTGCGACGTTGCACACACGGTGGAGTGGGGTCAAGGATGGGGCCCCGGAGGTGATCTTTATTTGGAGATCTTGGAACTTCAACTTCTCCTTGGGCTCGCCAGAAGCGTCCGCCCAGCGTCCTTTCCCCCGCTCACGAAGAATGGGACGAGGTCGTCGGGGTGAAGCGACGACCCGTCCTCGTTCGGTGAAGTTGCAAATCAGCACCTGCACCACTTCCTGAGCTCATTGGAGGACGAGTCGGGGGGGGTCTGGAACGACCTGCACCCCTACATAAGTCCAGGTAACGGGCCTGGCGTTAAAGCCTGGTCTGACTGACCTCATGGAGTTAAGGCTTATAGGCAGATTCCCGGACCCAGTCAAATGAGGTCCGGACAGACCTGTAGGGATCTGACGGGGCTCATTACTACTCATTTGGATCCCTACCCTTTGAGACCCAGGGCGGGCATCAAAATATGTAAGTTACATGTTCCGATGTCCTGAGGATATGACCCGACTAGGGATCTGTAAAATCATGACTCAACATCACTAAACCCAACTATATAAATATGATTAAATATGGGCGGCCGAGTGCTTGCAGCTTACTTACTAGAGATATCCCTGTCCAATTTGCAAGCCTCTTTTGCAAGCAGCATCTGCTTGTGCAAGCTCTTTCGCGGTGCCCTAATTGGTGGACGAGCGTGTCCCAAACCCCTTCAATCACACAACTCCTCTGAGCTTTCCTCACGAGCAATGAGGTCACCATAGGCCCACGGAAAGGGCCAAGGAAGCGAAAAACCGCACATGCCCGCGTCCAACCAAAACGTAAGACATCTCAGTATATAAAGCCACCCCAGCCCGGCGTGCACCTGTTTAGACTGTGCACCACAGCAACGACACGTCCCGCGGCAACACGTGACACGTCCGGCCCGGCCGTTACGACCGACCGACCGGGGCTCGTTGTCGTTGGGGTCGGACTCCTCGAAGGTGGCGGAGCCAAACCTTGGACAGGGGTCGAGGAGAAGGGCAGACAGTCGAAGCACCTTATAATAGAACTATTGCAGAGTTCTAATAAGATGGCGCCTACAGTTCTACAAACATGGTTCCTATCGGAACGGTTATTGGGAAGTGATTTTGACTCAACAAATGAGATTAGTGAGAGATTCGAACATTTTGACCTCAGATCCCGGGGCTTTAGCGGGCCCTGGTCTTGTCCTTTGTTTGAACCACTACTTACAGGAGACCCAACCCCTTCGCATGTGTCGAACCCAACACCGAGTTACGCGGTTCGGGTCGGGGTTGGAGTTGGCTCGGCTTGGAGAACAAACGGTGGAGGTGGTGCGAAACGTGTCCGTCTCGGGTCTCATGGTTTTTGGTACATGGATCGTTCACATGGAGCGAGTTCCAGTGGAGCAGTCCCAATGATCGATCTTTCCAAGGTCTTCAAGCCTCTGATGCAGCTGATGCCTCACTCAAGTTCCAGCCGCCCCATGGGCCTCTTGGGGCAGTGGGGAGGCCTGGAGCCATCCCGATGAAATGCCCTTTTGGTGAAGAGTGGACCCCAAAATGAACTGGATCCCAGACTCAGAGCCATTTGGGCTTTGGCTTTAGGAGTTCAGAAGTGGGACCCCGAAATGACCGTCCACAGTCCACAGAAGATGCACATACGTAATACTTTGGACCAAATCCATCTTCATCTTGCCGTGACACTTCATCTTCCACGCTTCGAAGTCCATCAGCGGCTTCGACAACGGCTGCAGGGCGTCGTCGTCCTGGGCAGGATCGGCGCGCGCTCCATGGGGGCCCATACGTCGTCCATAGCCATGTGTGGGAGGTCCCAAAAGCCCCATCTTATATATCTAAAAGGGTGGAGAACCAACCACATGGATCCACATGATAAGATTGGGGGAAGGGAAACGCCTTTGTTCGGCGCGGATCGATCCCCCTTCGGCGACCCCGTTTTTCGTTCATCGTCACGCGCCTCGGCCAGGAGAATCACCTCATCGTCCTGCCGGTCGAAGCCCATCGACCCACTCTACATGAAACGACTTGCATCCACTCTTGGCTCTAATTTTCCGAGTGATGCTCAAAGGGCTATCAGATGGACGTGGCACGGAACAGCCTGAAGCTGGATTTGAAGCCAAAACTTCTATTGAAAAGCGAAATCAAAAGGTGCCCCATCTCCGCCAGGTGCATCAAGTGTGAGACTCCCTCTAGGTCCCTCTTTAGGTCCCTCAGCCCTGGTCAAAGGAGGTCTCGCCTCTTTGATCTCATAGGACTTCTCCGGGTTGATGTGGTAGGCCCCACCACTGTCGCGGATGCCGATGGGCACCGTCTGCTCACACCAGAAGGGCGCCTCCTCGGTTCTACAGGTCGAGGCGCCCTTGATCTTCCAGGATCGAGCCGATAGTCGTCCCGGCCTAGTTCAAGACCACGTTTAAAATGGTTGACTTGGCTTTGAAGTGCCAAAACCTTAGTACAACAATGGCTCTTGGGTCAAGATCATTGAATCAATGGTGGTTGGAATTGCAGGGTCTACATTGCCGCGACCGAGTCAGAAAGCTAGCTTAGTCAGTACCTGACCCAGTCAGCCCAGTCCCTGTCCTTATCTGCCCTTTCTCCGTGGAAGTCGGACCCATACGTTCCGCAGTGCCTAGGACCTATAGAGGCCTTGCCTCACCTTGGAAGGTCAAAGGCCTCACGGACCTGGTCCAACAGGCTCAGCAAGGCAGACGCTCCAAGCAGCGGTCCTGAAACAAACCTCGGGACCATTCGGGACCCCGGCACTGCTCCCATAGGAGGCTTTCAACTGAGCATCCACGAGCCCAAAGATCTCAATCAAACCAGCCAACCGAGCCAACCGAGCCCTGAAGCTCGGCGAATCAAGCGTTGCCTCGACGGGCGTTGCCTCGACGGGTCGGCTCCTGGAAGAGCTTGCCCGCTAAATTCAAGCTCTCCGCGCTGGCCGAGTAGAACTCGTCGCCCTCGAAGCCGATGATCGCCTTCGTCAAGTCAAGAGGGACGAGGGAGGGACGAGGAGAGAACCGCCTTCCGGTCCGACGTTGGTGGGAAAGCACTGAATTGCAGCCCCGCTGGCCGATCCTGGCTGCAAGACTAAAGGGGCGGATTCCGCCCTGGGCCGAGATGGTGTCGCCTTCCGGCGCGCCAGATGGTCTGAAAAGACCAGATGGGATGGGACGGTGACACCGTGAAGCTTCTTTGGATCGCTGTTGTTGGAGCTCCCTAGATAGAGAGAACTTCCTCACGAAAGCCACTTGCCGTCCACGATTGTGGACTCTTAAGTCCATTTCAACCACCCCCAAGGCTAACGAAGTTTTGCATAGTTTTGCAACCCAATGCCGGGGGGAATTGTCTTATAAAGTCTGGCTGGGTACCAAAGTCTTGGCTGGGGACCGTGGCCTAGATCCAATTTGGCTGTAAAGACCATAAGGTTAGTAATGGGTAGAAAAGTACAGTGCACTAGAACGCGCGAATTTTCTCGTTTTGGCCCATTTGCGGGGTAGGTAGGATCCCCCTTTTTCCTCTCACAATGTCAAGACTGTGACCGAGGACTTTGCAACTGATTAGGTTTCTATGTTGTTGGAGCGGTTGAATTGGATAATCTATGTGTTCTAGTTGATGTATTTATGCAAGTACACGGGTTTATTCGTACAAGCAGTGCGCAAGTGTTTCAAGCTCCGGCACTGTCCGTGGCATGCGCAAAAGAACTCGGTCGTTCTGTCTATGTGGTCTATGTGTCAAGACTACGGCGTGTTACTTTTTTCATGTTTCTATATTTGCCGTCTCTGTCTATGTGGTCTAGTGTCAAGACTACGGTTTGTTACTTTATTCATGTTGCTATAATTGCCGTATAAGGGAGTTGTCCAGACGGTTGTTTGCAGGTGATTCCGGTTTTTGCACACATGTCAAGACGGTGAACTAGGTAAGTGTTTCTACATGTCCCAGATGTCAAGTCAATGAAAACCACTATAAAGAGTCTTCTACACCTGCAGCCGCAGCTCCGTCGAAAAACCCGGGCCACGAGTCCACCCCGTTTGAAGAGCATTGCCACGTGGGGGGTGCGCTTCATACTTCTGCAACGCCACCCCTCACGACCCACCAAACCGGGCCAAGATGCGTTGAAGATGGGGCAGAGCCCCTGCGCGGAGCACAGGCAGTCATGACGTTTCTTGGGAGATCTATATCTTGCGGTCCAGCCCTCTCTTGAATCAACAAGCCTTTCTGAAAGGATTGGAAGAAACCCTCCGAAAGCAGTGGCATCAACACGCATCAACAGATTCCTTTCCCCTCTCCGCAAGGCGCCAAAGCTGAGAGGGCAGGTCCAAATCTATGGCCAAGGACATGCCCAACCTCATGATCTACCATGATGCCATCAATGCTTAGCCCGTCCGATCCGGGCTACCCCGTCCGATCCGGTCCCGGACCGGTCGGATTCCGCACCGGTCGACGCGTTGGCGCCTGGTCTTGAGCACTTTGCACCATGAGCCGTCCGAGGCGTTCGCCACTCAGGACAAAGGTCTTGCCTTTGGAAACCGCGAACGGGGTTTCCAAGGTTCACTGGACTGGCAGCGCGAAACGGGGTGTCAGGGGTTGGGGAAACTAAACTATTGCGTTTTTTAAAGCTAGCTGTGGTTTCTACAAACTCTCCTTAAGTCCATATAAAGCTTAGGACCTAGGAGCTGCGTCACGAACTTGAACGCGATGGACCCAGCTGTCTCACACGTGAAGACCGCTCTCCGTGGGCTGTCCCTTGTTTCACTCCGGCGGTGGCCTGGATAAAGGTCGTTCATGAACGTGACGTTCTTTCCCAGGCAGCACCTAGGGCGATGAGCCAAGCGTCCTTCAATGGACCGGGGGGGGAAGCCCTTGTGGTGGTCCTTCGGCCGAAGGTTCCAACCTCGAAGAGCCTCTTTCGTGCCACAGTCACTGGTACATTCACTTCCATGATTCCATGATCCACAGCATGTCACAAAAAAAGAAAGAAAACTTACCAAGCATTGTTGGATCCTCCAAAAAATATTCCTGCCGACAAGGTGCTGTACTGCGATATGCCCACCATGTGGCCAGCCACAAGCTCCCTGGCCTGCGTGTGCGCGCGTACCATGTGCTCGGATGTCCAACCGAGTCCATTCCACAGCATATGCTTTCCGATCTACGGATTGGATCAGCATGATCATCACATCACAGGTACGAGTACGAATGTTATATAATGACAAAGAAGAGCTGCAGCAGCCTTTTGGGTTGGATTGGTTGCTGAGGGTTTGTGGTTGAACAAGTTTGCCTTCCAAGAAAACATGGCCACTGCGACTCCATTTTTCACGGGAAGGACGAAAAGGCCAAGCTGCCCCTGCCATCATCACATTGATACTACCAGGCAAACCTTGGGCATTCCCACCATTCCCACCATTCAGTCCTCATCACCCTCATCTCCTTGGCTCCACCCTCCTCGCCCGCAGTCGCCCTCACCCCACCCCGTGAGGCGCGCCCGGAGTCTGCCGCCGTCCGCCTCGGAGGGTCAACAAGGTCCCGAAGGTGATGGCATCCGCCTCGTCCCGCGGCAGCGCCGGCTCGTCCAGGATCACGATCCTGGCGGGCGCCGGGGTAAAGGAGCCGGCCGTTCGGGGCCGCGGGGGAGGGCTGCGGGACGTGGCGCGCAGGAGGTGATGGGGGAGAGGTTCGGCCGCAGAATGGGGTTCATTTGTGGAACGTTCGCGTGGGAAAGTGGCTGGGTTCGCCATCCATGTTCTTAGAATCAAGCCAACCAAGGGCGCTTCTCGAGCCCCCAAAATCAATGCCCATACTCCGACGCATCGCCGGCGCCATCGGCAGGCTCCACCTCGTCGCCGCGCGCGCGCAATCGCTCGTCCGAAACGGCGTTCCTGCTACAGACATCGGCGCCCACTTTCCAAAGGTCCGACGCAGAGGACGGCAGACCACTGCGGCACACGATCCTGCGGTCGGGTCGGGTGTGGAAAGTCCGGTGTCGGCTCCAGAGGTGTCGGCGGCATATATACCAGCACCTTCCAAGGGGTCTCCAATAGACTACACTACACTGCTTAGGGATCTCCATTGAGCACCCCTTTGAAGGTCCAGGTACCAGTATCTTTATCTATCTATCTATCTATCGAAGGAAAACGCTAAACGCAGCCGAGTGGATGGGGGGATACGACGGAGACGAAAAAAATGATCCGGTCAACACCAAGGGAGAAGTCATGTTCAGCGGTGCCGAGGCTCTTCAAATCGCCCGTGTTGGTGTTCTGCCTCTTGATCTCTTGCTCGATCCTCAGGCAAACAATATCTAATTGGATCTAGATCAAACTCTCCCCGCACCCCGACTCCCATGATCGTAAATGAACTCTATTGATGTCATGCGATGTGCAAGTATAACATGCATAACTTAAGCAATAATGAGGGTGACAAACGACGAGTTCAGCAACCTTAGAATGTTCCTCCAGTCCCTCATCAATCACTTAGACCATAAATCCTGCCTCTGTCACTCCCAACAATGTGGATATATATAGAATGATATATATATATGTGTAGAAGAAAAAAACTTGATGTTCACCAAAAGCTTCATGCATCACATCCGGCACCACACACTCACACGCGAATTAATATGATGAAAAAAGGGTTAACAAAGCTTTCTGCAAATCTCGCATCAGCCCATCCAGTTGGCCCATCCACGTGCTCGACCCGACCGGGCTCGACCCTCCGAGCAGCTCGGACTTGGGCAACGTGTGCAAAATCGCCACCGTGGTCGGCGCGCTGCTCGCCTCGCAGATCGCCAGCCTCGGGGGGGCGAGACGGCGACCGCCCGGGGACCGGAGACGAGGACGGCGGGAGTCGTCGGGGCTCAAGCGGTTTTGTAGACAACAGCTGTTTGTAGGGGGCTATACGGCCGGCTAGGAGTAGAAAGGACACCAAAGTCTATAGGACCTAGGAAATGTAACTGGTCTTCATTGAACAAGGACTCGGGGAAGTTCCACTCAGAGCGAGGGCGAGGGCTGGCGACCTTCACGTGCGCTTCATGTCCTCCCTCCGATTGTGCGTCCCAGAAACTCCTCCAGGAACTGCTTGGTCTGCGAGGACAGCCCGAGCAGCACCAAATGTCCACCCTGCGGGCCACCGCGACGCGCGAACACGAGAAACGCCCCGCTGCTGCGACAGGGAACCACTCGAAGGTTGGCGGCCAAAAGGAACGGTCGCAATCGTAAGTGGAAAACATCCGGTTTGTAAAGGATGTAGGAGCGGCCCAAGTCAACAGCACCATGCAAATCGGATACCACAATTCCATGCAGTCCTTCCACGGATTTCTTAGACAAGAGCCTCCAAAGATGCTCTTGGTTACCAAATCACCTCACCTAAGTCTCAGTCATATAGAGTCATATCGGCCACCAAGCCATTTCATCTCTTTTAACCTCTTCCAGCTAGCCTCGATTCGTCCCCTCTGTCTCCCTCCGTGCCGGCAGGATGACTTAACCGATGCTCATGGCCACACTCGGCCCACTCCCACTAAAGCCACTACACAACCTCAACGGGTGTTTAGTCCCTATCGTTGTAGATCATGCTTCTACCCAAGCCCTAACTCCTCCAGCAAATGGACAGCAACCGAAGAATATCAACGCTCTCTGCCTCTTCATCATCATCAAATCGACACATGAGGCACGGTCCACATCTAGCATGTGAGCTTCAACCTGTTGAAGGCACTTCGCATGCTTCGATGGCCACCAACTCCCCCCTTTTGCCCACGGTCCGTGCGTCCCGCACGGTCCGTCTCACCGCACCGCCGCCCACCGCGGCCGCCGCGGCCTCCACGATGGGATCGCGGCCCTCGTTGGACTTCCGCTGCTGCTCCGCAAAGAAGTCCTCGCAGCTCGCGGCCGCTCGGCCAGATGCTCCCCTTGGGTTGAATTCTTGGGGGGTTCAAGTGTCTGTTCGACGATGCACCATGTATAATTGGGTTGAACAGTTTCGGCACAAATCTATCCACCTACCACGTCCACCTACATGTCCCTCCCCTTGCACCACATCACAAAACCATACCAAACCCGTCTATAACCACTCATCTCACCCTCCCACCCTTCCACCCCCTTCTCGCCACCCCGCCAACCGCCGCCACCGCCACCGCCGTCCGAGATGGTCGTCAGCAGCACGGCCAGCAGCACCAGGCCGCCGAAAGTGGCGATCATCCCCACGCCGCCTGGCGGAAGCGCCAGCGGAAGGGGAGGAAGGCGGCGGCCGGCTGGAAGCGGAAGGGGAGTGGCTCCGGGGGGGTGGCCCAAGGGCTAGTTGCACCCAAGCAAACGGAGTCATATGTGTTTTTTTAAGTTTATAGTATGTTTAGGTGATTGTGGGAAGGAACTAGGGGCGGATTGCCAGAGAAACAGGGGCACCACAGCCTGTAAGCCTTTAAAGACCCTTGACACTCCAAGGACTTGGCCATGGCCCTGGCGCCGTGCCTTCCATGGCGGTCACGGCCGGGTCCACCGACGCGGCCGAAGCCCAGACGGTGCAGAGCCACAGGCCCCGCACGGGCGAGTCCTGCCGAGGGGTTTATCCGAAGAAGTCGCGGCATGGAGTTCGGCGACGAGAGGTGAAGGCCGGTGAAGCCTTCGTGGCCAGTGAAGTGGATCCCCCAACGACTTGCCCAAGAGAGAGAGGATGGGACGGGAGACCCAAAGACATGTTGAAGTGGGGGATCGACTTTCCTATCTATTTGGGGGGGTCTATATATATAATATATAGGACACGACTGGGGGTACCTATGGAATAGTCTGTCTCTAGGGTAGTGATTCCACCTCGGGTGACCTTTGGAGAGGTGTTTGGTGACCATGGGAGGGTCCTGAAAAAGGGGTTCTCTTTATCCCAATTTCTGTGGGAATGAAGGGGCAAAAAGTGTTCCGCCCAAACGAGTGAAGGTGGGAGGAAGTTCCACAAGTGTTGGCTTTTTCCTTCGGGTGACGCGCCCGGATCCTGGAACTTCTCCTAGATGACCGGGAAATCCGCTACAATCCGCTACACAGGTCCTGCATCATGATTGCGTAGATGAAGGCACCTGGGCAGCCACAACGGCGCCACAGCGGCATCCGGACAAAAATGCTACACGCATCTTCTGGCACAGAAACGGGCTTTCTAGGACCCCCCTTATGACCCCTTTAATTAATTCTGTGCAGTGTTGCCAGGACGGCTGTCACACACCAAACATCGTGACTGGTCGTACAATGGAAAAAACATGTGGAATGTCAGCATGCGAGGGAAGTAGAAATGGCCAACAAGTAGACTTGTAGACGAAACGACCCGTGGGAGAATTCACATCCTCTGCTCCCAAAACTGAGAGCATGACCACCCACCTTTTCAGCGAACCGTCTGGAAACGATTCCTATGAACGGGTGAGTGTCCAAAGGACACATGGATTTGCATTGGAACAGTCCTCTCTCTTCGGGTGCCCGGTTCCATAATTTGCACTTTACCCAGGCCCAGGGACTGCAGGCCACATGCTGCACTCGATCAAGTTGGTCATCTGCGCTGAGGGAGGTCGAGAAGATGTTTGTCCTTCATCAGAATGGTTTCCGGCTCTTTGCACCCACCTTTTCCTCCCCGTACACCTCCAGTATCTATATATAGGAGATTATAGGAGACCACCTTCGCCTCAGGATTTGCGTAAGGGTATATACAGTAGTATAGTGCCCACACCTGCCACCACGTGTGACAACACACCCCTTGAGCCAAGGGGGTTGTACCACTCCCCCACCCGGACCGCCAACGACGTCGAGGCACCCGTGTTGATCCATGCCGGCCACCTGCTTTCCCAGCAGCGGCTCCAAGATCCTGCACCGGGCCCCGGACCGAAGGCCCACGGACGGAGCATTGCACGCGGATGGAGCGGAGGGAGCAAGGATGGAGCGCGGATGGAGCTCCGTTTGGACTTCCCACCAGCTACCCTCGGCTCAGTCCACCTGACCAACTGTTTTCCCCCCCCGCCCACGGGTTGCATCAAGTGCCAGGAAGGCCAACAACGCGGCGGCTCTGGGGGGTCCTGGTGATCAACGGCATCTTCACTGGAGCTGGTGCATAGGTGGGCGCCACCTCACGAGGGCGTGCCAGTGGATGGCCACAACCAGTCCACAAGCTGTGCATTTCTTGTGTGTTACCATCTGGTTGGCTTCCCCGCCTTTGTGGCAGCCTCTGGTGATGGAGCAGGCACCTGCAAAGGCAGAAAAAGAGAGATGCGAGCAGCGGTGGTGATGCGGATGTGGAGAGTGTGATACACCATCAAATCAATCACCTCAAAAAGGATCCTGAAACCTCCTGAAGCAGTGGAAACCTCACCCAGCGGTGCCGAACTCAATGGCAATGTCCTTCAGATCATCCACTCGATCTGACCGATGGTCGACCCCGTGGCCACTAGATACGTCCGGGCGGTCTGACGTGGCGATGGGATGCCATGAGTTGGTGTTCCCCAAGAAGCAATGCTCGCCAAAGGGTTGTTGCGGGCCACAAGAGAAAAATTCTGACTGGAGCTTCTATCAAGCCCAGTCAACATGGATCAGAATGACTACAAGTTAGTTGTATACTGCACCTTTGGCTGCTAAGACTGCTCGCCCATCCAGAACTTCCAGCACCTTTTTCACCGAGCTTCACCCATCCAACAACCCCCTCCAACTCACTCCTCTCCCACCTGGTCCCAGAAAATCGACCCCCAAAACCCCCCAACCCCACCGGGCCACCCTTCCCGGACGGTGGCGCCTGAAGGGCCTGAGGGGTCTCATGCTCCCGTGCGACGAGGCCACGCGCCTGCACGGCCGCAACAGAGAAACACCGACCCCCCGCGGGGGGTGGAAACCACCACCGGTGCCCAGCAAAAGTGCTCGGCGGGAGGCTTTGCAGTGGAGGTTCTTCTGGAAAACAGTGGGAAGAAAGAAAAGACACATGGTTTGAATCGATCCGGCTGGGCTATCGCCACCACCTTTCAAACCAGATTCATCAAAGACCGGGCACCGCGAAAGGATCTAGGGGCCAAAGCTCAAATCTGGGACATGCTCCTCCGGTCCGCCGGGCCTTTATGGCGCATTGGTTCAACTAAAGAGGCCCCACATCTACAGTACCTGTCCGATTCTAGGGGCGACAGACGTAGGCGATTCTCCCACTCTCCTTATCTAACAGGAGCTCTGGGAGTGTGCTGAACCCATGTTGGATGGTCATGTTATCATGTCTCAAAAAAGTTCTGGAGATGGCCATGGCAAGTGCTGAACTCACTGCGCCTGTGCCACAAAGCAGGCAATCAGCAGCCCACGCACCTGAGCAAGGCAAGGCCCAGCAAATGCTATCAGACTCACACCTGCTACGTGCCTTTCTGTGGCACCATACCTTTGAAGATGCCGGGATTTCGCAGGTGCCCAGCATGCGGGGCTACAGCAATAACATGCATTAACTGTTTCGCCGGCATCCTTGGCAACCTCAACAACAAACGCCTTCAAGACAAGATCCTCCCATATCCTCCCTGCATTGATCCAAACGGCCCCCACCACAGAACAAAGACAGGACAATATTTTGGACAATCCAAAACACCTCCAACCCACCAAAGACAAAGATACAGCTAGTCATACCGAGCGGCCATCTTCATTGCTAACGGAGCCGGGCGCGACGCGCCCGCACGCGACGCCCGCGCGCGGTCCGCCCCCCCCTTTTGGACGAAGAGCCGAGAAGGGGCCAAAGCGGGGCGACCACGGGAGATGTGCAACATCCTTCCCTAGCAGGATAGAGACTTTTTCCTTCGACTTTTGATTAGCGGGCCGGTCAGTGGGGGATAGAGAAAAACCAGACAACACAACACTTGGACTATATTCGGCCTTTGAAACGAGGCCAGCCCACCCACTGCGGGGCATCACGCGCCACCCATCCCGGTGTCCTCCCATCAGCATCCCAAAAATCATCCACATGCTTGGCCGAAGCAATCCAGGCAACCCCTTTCTTTGGCCGTTCTTGTGGGTGCTTGGCCGCCAAGGGTTTCACTCTGGACCACCCCGTAGACACAGGAGCTGCGGCTCTTGCGGGCGCACCATACGGAAGAGCTCCTGCCTCGGTGTCCGTCGAACAACACTCAGTCTCACCTGCAGGGTGTCCCAAATGGGTGTCACCTGCCGCGTGCAAAGACCGGACTGGGCCATTCCACAGGTGAGGGGGACATCCGCCAAGGTACGACCCCAAACCTTCCAAAACAAGCAGCCATGGCCATGGCGGCTTCCTGCCACTCTCTGCGCAACTAGACCATGGTTCAGAAGACTCACACCAGGAGTCACAAGTCGGGGTGCCGAACTTGGAGGATAGGGGTGCCCAGCTACTCCACTCACTGGATGATGGGAGAAGCCACACCACCCAACTCCATGTGACTCCTGGAAGAAGTCTTTCGACGTCCAATAACCTGAAGCAGACCCCCCCTATGATTTGGAGGGCTTATTCATCTATAGAGGCTTTATAGTCTAGCATTAAACCTCTTCATTCATACATCTTCATACTAGGAGCGTTGTATTCATCCAAAGCGTCTATACTGGCCGTCCCCGCCCGCCGCACCGCGACCCGGAACCGCTGCGGCCCCCGAGGCGTCTCGTTGGAGGTGCCCAGGTCGGTGGGCCTCGGAAGCGAAGAGGTCGGTGCGGTGGGGGGAGGGAGGGGGCGGCCTGTGAAGGACAGGGACCGGGGGTGTGCGGGTGGTTGGTTGGAACAGAAGGGTGCTGCCACTTGGATTGGAGACACTTCGGCTCATTGGGTCCAAATCGCTCGTCGGACACTTCAGACCTGAAGCTTCAGCCCCCTTGGGACGCTTCAGATCATCGACCGAACCGCACGTGACCGAAGGCGACCCGCTGGCGAGTCTCCCGGCGTGTGCTTGGTCAGCGACGCCTCAGCCACCAGTGGGGAGTGGTAAATAACGTGCACAGATGCATTCGGATGCATGCATGCATGGATGGACGGACGGACGGACGGATGGGAACAGAGAGTTTCGCGGTCAGTTCCATAGAGTTTCTGCGGTCGCCTGGTGTTGATTTGGAGCCATGGCAATGTCTGCACTGTACTTGCCATCTTCAGCAGCCCTCTGCTTCGGTGTGTTACTACTTCATCTACTTATATATATATATATCGAATCTTATCAAGACCCAAAGGTTCTGTCGCTTCAGGCCACACACCCCAAGTCCCATCTGAGTCTTTGGCTAGTAGCTGCGACTGTAGGCCGTCCGCTGGCGCGGCCTGGCCAAACCACTGGCGAAACCGAGCGATTTCGAAGCGGATCGCTTCAGATATATATATATATGCATTGAGCACAGGCCATATATATATATATATATAGCGCAAATTCGTTGCACAACCCTGTCTTACCTCCTCAAATCCCGTTTCCTCTTGGAGTCCGTTTTTGGGTTTCGGAGAGTCTGAGTCCACCAACCCGCCATCATGTCCAACCCGAACCGACTTGCCGCGACCTGACTGACCGCCGGCACGTGGCTCCGCAGCGCCTGAGGGGCGGGGAGGGAGAGCAGCGCAGCAGCAGGCTCCGGAGAGCGCTGCTTAACAGGGTCAGGTGCCTGGAACGCCTCCAAATGACCCGACCCTAAGAATCCGGGTCTCTGAAATCAAGGGAGTCCAAGACCGTGACCCGAAAAGGACTGTCCTTTACTTCAGTCGGTCCGAATATAGTCATATTGGACTTCTAGGGGGTCCCGGTCCGGAGGGTCCGACCCCATGCCATGGAGGGCCTGGGTCGGATTCTTGGGGTAGAAAATAGGAGATGACCCTACCATACCCTACCAGTATAAAGAATACCATGCCCTACCATACCCTACCATACTCTACCATACCCTACATACCGGGAGTCTCAAACGTACTCTACCCAAGGTAGATCTGTGCCTGTTTTTCGTACGTTTGAGACTCCTGGTGGGTCGTGCTTGGTTCCCGTTGTTGTTGGGACACTTGGACAAAGGAATGGGGAAGAACTCATCAGATCTCAACCACTCCACCCAGAGGCTCTTCTCGTTCCATGACAACATCAAGGAAGAGACCTATGAGGAGTGAGGAGTGTTCAGTCCTGCATTCCGAGCTGGCGCGGAGGCTGGAGGCGCTTGGAGCTTCAGGACCCAGCTCTGAGATAGAAATCGGCCGAGGTTGGAGCCGATTCTGCAGCTTAAAACCGGTTGAAACGACCTCTTCAGATATAGAGGCGGGAAGCTCCGGAGTTGGCCCATGGGACCATAAAACTGGCCGCACCCCACTTGCGGGTCCCGCGGGTCGCTGAGCGCGGGACGGAAACGAGGTTGGAGGCGAAATCGGGGACCGGGCGCAGGGCAGGCAGGGCCTGGACTGCGAGTGGAGGGGAGAAACCGGAGTCCTGGAGTCATCACACCACATTGTGATGATGTAATGCTCGGTGAGGACACCCAAAGATTATTGAATAGAAAGGAAAGTCTTAGAAGTTGCGTGGAAAAATTTGAGCAAATCCTGGACGCCACTGCCCGCCATAATCCTGGAAAACCTGTCCCCCTGAGTGCCCCTTCCGGCGCCATTGGCGGCAGCCCCTCGGCCGCATGCGGTCGAGTTCGGTGTCCCATTGTATGCGTCGAAAAAACACGTCGAAGATCAGAGATTCAGAGATCAGTTTTCCACACAAGAAAAACATACAGGTTTCAATTGGGTCCTGTCATTGGTGAGAAGAATTTCTGGCACAGAAAGCCCGCAAGCTGACCAAAGGGGAGAGAGTCCACCTGTGCGAGATGGTCAAGCCGACTCGGTTGGCTTGTAGACCATGACTCAGTGCGATGACTCAAACCATTCTTGTCTACCCCGTGGAAAACTAGCATGGACCCTGAAAACCGCTGGCTTGTAGAAGACAATAGCCTGAAAACCGGGTCCCATTCTCAGGGTCCAAGTTAGTCTTCGGGAGTGTAGGTCATCTCTCCTCCCCGCGTGTTCTACCATCCCCCGCGCCGAGGGCGCAGCGGTAGGAAATGCCTGCCACCAGGTGTCGGGCAAACTGCTGGGGCTAAAGAATTGAAACGTGTTTGTTCACTTGAAATTGAAACGGTTTTTCTCAAACTGGCTTCGAAAACTGCTGGCGTTCAAGGCCGCCCAGGGCCGTTGACCACCATTGTTCAGGCCAGTTCGCTCCTGCTGTTTGAAAGAAAGGCGCGCAGTGACGCGCCATTTGGCGCTCGGCAACTGCTCGGCGCCTGCATCATTGGCGGGAGCCTCACTGGCCACGCAGGTGGGAGCACCCAAACTGCACCGCGCAGGACTGAACAGGCCGTTGAAATCCTGGTGTCTTCGTTCCAAGAAGGCCACGTCAACCGTCCAGTGACTTTCATGGACCCCAAAAGCGGGCCACCACTGGGCCCCCCGGGCACCAAAGGGTTCAAGGCGCCCAACGCGCCCGGCACCTGCGGGGGCGGTCTGGCGGCGGGGCGGCGGGGTCCCCAACTCGCTTTGGAGAGGAACATGTGGACGGACCCCGTCCACCCATCCCAAGTGCCTGAAATCGGAGGAGAAAACAAAAAAAGGTCCCTTTTTCATCTCTGGTACCCTCCATCCCGGGCTTCTCTCCCCCAAGGCGGGGGCCACCGATGTTTTGCGGGCGGCGCCAACTTTGAGAGAGGGAGAAAAAGATTCCGAAAAAGAAACGGAAACTCTGAGGGTCAGCCAACAGCATTCAATGACACTGAGGAGCCGCACCATCATGGGCCTCACCAGCCCACCTGAAGCCCAAAGGCTGGCCACAAAGGAGTTGGAGTTAGGAAGAAAGGCATGGCCAACTGTGGTAAGGGAAGCTGCTGAAGACACGTGGCACCTTTCCCCTTCCCAGCCCCACCAACCATTCAGGATGCCGCTTTAAAACATTGGAGGACAAGCAAAAAGAAATCCACCCGTTCTCTTGCCGATCTCTACGCAAACGCCCACATCTGGCCTCTTGCAGAGGGCTCCGATCCTTGTTTCCACCTCACCTCCCAACGTCTTCCCGTCACCCGCAGGTGTTCCTTACACCCGTCCTCTGCACCAACGACCAGTCCATGGAGTCCACACGAGTCGCCCGGGGGTCCGGACCGGGAGCTGTGAGCTGCCCATCCTCAGGACGTGCGAAGAACTGAGCCGTGGGCTGAGCCGCTGGGGGGGGGAGCTGTCAAGGAGCTCCCAGCGAACGGATTGCCAGAACTTCAGCCCTGCATAGTACAAGCTGGCATCTATGAAATGATCTATATGAATCTAAACGGGATACACATAGACTTATACTCCAACAAACGTCACCAAGGGGTGAAGAAAATGATATTCCATGATATTCCTCTGTCTGCTGCTTGCGATCACGCTCTACCCGAGTCACTCAGCTGCTTCCGAACAGCTGTCGACTGGACCGAAGGGGCATCTCCAGAAAAATAGCGAGATGAATATGAATATACATGAATGAGTGAATGAGTTCTTCGCGAATGAATTAGACAGAATTAGAGGACCCCAGCGTGGTCCGTCTGGGAGCCCCCACAGCACCAAACATGCCCTGAAGAGCAACGGCTGAGGCAGAAGGCGTCGACTTCATGGTATAACTTGGGAGACGAGTGCGTTACATAAATGGCGTGACTGTGTATTACTGTTTGGTGTTTGTCGGTAGTAATGTTGCATCTTACATGATCAACCATCATCATCATCATCATCATCATCATCATCATCATCATCATCATCATGTACCGGTTTCCGTACGCATGAGTTTTCGCGATTCGCTTCGCGATCCTGTTTGGGGCGCCATTGGACGGTTCCTTCGTTCGGTGAAACCGACTGACTAGGGAGAGCCGTTTGGAACTGAGAGCCAAGCCTTCCACAGGCTCAGACCTCTGCTCAGATTCTCAGACCTCTGCCCCCAAGTCACTGAGTCTTGTGCTCTCAGCCACTGAGTCGAGGCGAACTCCGCTTGAAGAGGCGCCCCAAACCGCCGCTTTTGCGACTCATCGGCTACATCTCTCGTGGCACTACATGGGTCTCTGCTGGACGGCGAAGCCACTGCGGGCGCAGTGGCTTAAGGAGTCGACACCAATGGAATCCAAGACCAATCGCAAGGTGTTGCGCCAACACCAAATGGCCAAGGGATTCACCGGGAGGACCATAGCCTGGCAGGCAAGAGCCACTCAGGCTAATGTCTTGCTAAAACCTTTTTAGTCCCTAAGACTTAAGACTTAGTTGAGCTAACCGCCAACGTGGACGATTCAAGACTAGCAAGACCTCACGATCCGGTCCTGTGAACAAAGCACCTGCAGATCCGCCCATTAAGATTTATTGCTTTGGCTTGCAGTGGCTTGCAGGTTCAAGCCTTTAGACTTTAGACTTTGGTCGTCCCTGTAGCGGACCGGGGGCAAGCAACGTTACACCGACCCCGACACCACGGGAAGGCTGAGGCTCGGTGGAACACCTGCCCTCATGCCATGAAGCCACAAACATGTTGGTCGGAGTGGAATTCGGAATAGTGGACACCTCATGTCTTTCCACCTCTTTTGGGGGCAGTTCTCTGTTCTTGTGTTGGGGCCCCCACATCACCTGCAATATAACAAAAAATAGATATATATATATATATATTCAACTCTCTATAAGTGCGTGTGTATATATAAATATTAATATACTCTTTCGCCTCTCTTCCATCACGGCACCTTCCGCATATCTCCCGTGAACTTCATGAACAAGCCCTCGTCGGTGATAAACTCCTCCGCCAGCTCCTGGTCCACCCGATGGAAGATCCGCTGCGAGTAGTCCGTCATATTGGCCTCAGTAGTCCCAGCGAGGAGTCCGAGCGATCCCAGCGATCCCCAGGAACTCCCAGCGATCGCCAAACGCACGATGTTTTGCAACACACACCCCATGCCCCACATGCGAGTCTGGAGGGAACACGAGTCACGAAACTGAGAGTGACACGAATGTAAAGCCGTCAGAACAGAAGAATTTCGAGAAACATTACAATTGAGAGTTGCTGGATAAGCAAAGGCCCTCCGCTTTTGCGATTCATCTTGCAATCGGACTGGCCACTGTGCCACCCACTCTGTATTCCAAAAGCCCCTTACTTCCTCTCGGATCATGGTCACGCCCACTTTGTGCACAGTGCTGAGGAGGTGGCACCAATCCCCTACCCTGCAGCCGCCAAGAAGTCTACATCACCTGCCATCACCCGAATCTGCCCATCACACTCCCCTCACATCACACCTTGCACACCCCCCCCCAGACACCTCTATTTCGAGGGCTATGGCCCTCAAACCGGACCTGGACCTGGCCACCGTCGTCACCTGACCCCCAGCCGTGCCCGTTCAACCCGACCGGCGCCCGGATCGTCCGTCCGGCGCTGCTCCGAGCGCGCGCGGCTCGCGCGGGCCGCGCCCAGGGCACCATCCAAGTGAAGCCCATGCGTCCAGTGGGGTTGTGGATCCGCACCCGTGGGCTATGGAACCAATTCCACAAGGCGCGATCCTCGAAGATGGTCCTGGCGGCGCAGTCCCCATCCAGGCGCAGCCGTGCCGACGGTGTCACCGGGAGCGAAGTGGTTGGAACAGCAAAATGGGATGCGCAGGTATCTAGAATTCAGAGGGGCAGGCCCAAGCAAAAGGGGATATTATCACATCGGCATTAGCAAGGGGATATATTACAGCATGGCCTATTGGGGTTTCAATTCATGGACCGATTCCACATCGAATACACTCATCAAATCACCAGGTCTATTTTCATGTCTATTCCAACATCTCCTGGCTTGCGGAAGCAGACCCCTCAACACCAGTCCATTGTCCAGGTCTCTTCCACCAACCTCATCCAACCTCTACGGACGCCCTCGCGCACCCCCTTCCTTCGTCCCCACCGCGCCTAAAGATGCACGCATCCGACGAGAGGTAGGTGCGAATCCCCAGGCGCTTCATGATCTCCAGCTGCTGCGGCGTGAACATCCCGGTGAGCCGCAGGTCGTGCCGGCTGGCCTCGGCGAGCGTCGCGTCCCGGAAGGACTCCATCGTTTGATCGGCAAGGCGTAACAGGAATATCCTTTGTGTAATGGCCTGCAATTGCCAAGCAACGGTGAATATATTTAATTATTGTTATTGTTATCCTGTTAATATTTGTTCTAGCAGCTATTTAGATCTATTTAGTGTTTGCAAGAGATTTCTTGTAGTAAAGCAATCCAAGAGTACGAATGGTCCAAATGGTCCTACTATGTCCTATGTCCTGCTTTCCCTTCAGATGAACCATTCTCCACCCTCCCAACACTCCGAAAGGTTTCACCTCTCTCTCCCTTCTCTCTCCCCTCTCTCTCTCTCTCTCTCTCTCTTTCATCTGACTGCCAGGTGGCGCCATCCAGGAACTGCCAAGCACAATCCCGGACCCGTCGGATGAAGAGATCGTTCGGGGGCGACTCCAGAAACCAATTGTACGCGTGGTCCTTCCAGTCCACTCGCGTGTCCTCAGGCGCGCCGTATCGGCGTTTGGCGCGGATGTTGTTGGTTCGGTACCGGGGTAGTGTTCGGCGGTGGGCCCGGTGGGCGCCACGGTGCCTGACACCGTGAATCCGCAAAGCAGCACCAACCAGGCGAAGCCCTTCTCCTCAGCTCCTCCTCCTTCCACCTGCCGAGCGTCATTGGCGCGCAGGGATTCGTCCTCCCAAATCGGCGGCAGCGAGAAGAAGGTGCGGATCTGGGGGTCGCTGCCCAGCAAGCTCTGCAGGGAATGCGTCATAAGCGTGGTCGCATCCACCCACACACCCCCGTAGCGCAGCAACAGCGCCAGGCCTTAGCGAGACGCTGTCCGGCTTGTATAGAAGCGAGACAGGCCCACCCCCCAGGCCAAAGAGGGGGGGAAGTTGGTTTAAATGTCTGTTTTGGAATTGTTAACCCAAATAAGTTGGTCCTAGTAACGAATGGTGTTTCTTTCTCTCCTTTCTTCCCAAATGCGGTGATCGTCCAGTCGCCCTTGCGCCCTCCGTTCCACCGCGTCGTGCCGGTTCCGTAGCCCCTTCGATCCCGGCCCTCGTAGAAACGCGCCGAGCATCGAATGGCATCGGATTTATGTTGGACCGTGAGAAACTCGAAGGTCCTCGGCAGATCCTGCGCTACCCAGCTACCCAGCTACTTACTGGCGCTACTTACTGCGGGCTTTTTGACGGAAAGGTTGGTGTGGGGAAAGGGTTGCTGGGGAATCGTGTGGAACCAAACACGAAGACAAAGAATCCTGCCACCAGCTGTCCCACTCCGGATCTATCTGGATCATCTATCATCCACGCGCCCACACCTCTTGCATCCTCTTGCATCCTCTTGCCACAGAGGGAGAGGAAGAAAAAGAAATAAAATCCGGGTCGTCTACGATCCGCACGCCGAACCAACCTCTTGCAACCCGAAAACAATGAAACAACCAAGTCCAACGTGTGCCACATCTGTCTACCAACAGTCACAGAGCTCGGGGGTGGTGTGGCTCGTCCCATCCAGGGGCTGTGGATGTGACAGGGGCACCCCGACTACCTCCATGGATCGCACCCCGACATGTGACTGCTGGTATAGATCTCTTCCTGTTTTCCCTCCACCGTCTCATGCCTGGGGCGTGAGGAACTCGTGCAAGCTGCTCTCGTCCAGCAGTCGGATCTCGTAGTCGGGATTCAAGGCTCTCCAAGAGGCTTTGCAGGCCTCCACGAACAAGCTCTGCACCTGGCAGCACGGTGAAGCACAGCGCCAGCTACCTATTGAAGATCTGACATCAGTCTGTGCCCCTTTTTCATGCCAAAACGTGCCGCGCGATGTCTGGCCCCAGCCAGCGGCCTCAGGTGAGTCAGGTCTATTGCTCCAATAGCTCCAAATGATCTTCGGAACCGGAAGCACTTCTTGACCTTGAAACGCTGTCCTCGGCTGTTAGCACGACGCGGTTCCCGGGGCATATGGATAGCGCTAGGCATAGGCCTAGATAGGCCTATGGCTAGCCTAGGCATAGGCCTATGGATAGCGCTAGGCATAGGCCTAGGATAGGCCTATGGATAGCGCTAGGCTAGCTCCCTAGGCCCCTGGGATAGGGGCTGCCCTGGCTCGAGTATAGGGGTAGCCGTGGGAGTTCTGTATGGTTCCCGGGGGAAGCTGGTCAACAGGCACCTGCTTCGAGTTTTGTTCCAAGCTGCTTGGTGTCCTTTGCCATCGGGTGCCGCCAGAAGCACTTGGCATCCAGCCTCCCTCGCGCCGCACTGGGATGAAACAGGCCATCTGCAAAAATGTAGCAAGATCCAGCAGCCTGCTGCACCTGCGAAGCCATCAACTGTTGGTTTCAAGCCCCAAGGGGTTTTTTACACTTCCCAAACGGTTGAAGAGATTTCCACCAAGGCCTGCAACTGTCCAGTCTACTCCAATCCCGTGACGCTTCTTTTCGACAAATAGATGTTCATCGTTTTTTGGGGCAGCTTGACCAACATGTTGATCATTCCCCCAACCTCATAGCCAGTGCAGGAGGGCACGAGCAGACAGAGCTTGGTACATTCCGGGCTCGAGCCATCGGGCAGCGCTGTGGAGGTATATCTCAGAATTGGACCCGAGAAGTTCTGGCCTTGCCTCGGCAGCACCCCGCGGGGGGGACCCCCGGGTGGCGGAGCGGGGAACCCGGGCGCCTGAACAAGGGGCTCGCAGGCAAAAGGGGATGCCATACCCACTACCTGGACCCCCTGCCATATGTGAGATTTCGCTGGTGGTATCTACGGCAGTGGGTTCCACATGGTTCCACCAAAAAGGCCAAAAAGGCTTCCTTCACCCAATCGATTCAGTCGAACCGATGTACGACTAAAGCAGGGTACTTTCTGGGAAGGGAGTCCTACCGTCGGTCCAAGTCACACAGTTGACTCTTCGATCACCAGTCGCAGGAGGTCGGGAGTAAGTAGAGGGGGCCTCTAAGATTACCGGTTTGGAGGGTCATCAAGCCGCGAAGGTGAAAGAATTCCCTGCTCCTCCGCGCGATGTCTGCTGAAGAAACAAGAATCGACCTGGGGAGAGGTACCCCTCCTGCAGCTCGGCGCCACATGGACCCCCCCCCCCCGCAAAAGCCACCCGGGCGCTCGGGTACTTCGGCAAGTCGGGTCTTACCCCCTAAGTAGACACGTCGGTGGCCCAGGCGCTGGTTGATGCAGTTGCCCTTCCCAAGGAAAACAAAGTCATCCAGCACCACCCCTTTGGGCAAAATCGCCGAGAAGTTCGCCTGGTTTCGCAGTCTGGTCGGTTTCAAGGAGGGGTGCTTTCCTCAAGCAATGGACCTAGAACCGGAGTGATCTCTATTTTGGACCACCAACCTATCAACACTAAAGACAAATGGGCATTAGATCAAGGTATATACAGACTTGATCTTTGTCATTCATGCAATGATATTCCCCTGGAATGGTAAGAGTAAAACTTACCGTAAAACTGATCCACCATGTTCATCATGCCGACCTACATCTCGAACAAGCCCTGCACCCAAAAAACCGCCAACTGGAAAGTCTAACTGAGTCAGGGCTCTACCTCTCTCTAACTCTTAGGTCCAACCTTCTACCGCTTGTATGCAGCAAGTCAAACCTCCAAACTCCAAACCCGGTCGCTGCAGGAAGTCCCGGAACGGCACTTCCGGCGCTCACCGCCGCTCCGGGAAACGGCGGCGCCGCCGGGCGCGGCCAGCTCGGAGTCAAGGCTACGGAGGGCATGTCCGTGGTGAAGGGCGGATCCGAGGCAAAGCTCCTGGGAGCGCAGGGCCCAGGGCGGGCGCCAAGAAGGTTGGGGGACGGAGGAGGCGGGAGAAGGTTGCTTTGCAGACTCGCAGGAGGTTGGGGGTGGGGACTTGGAAAGGAAATGGATGAGAGGGATGAGTCGAGGTTCAACTGCCTCGACAGCGAGCTGACTGCTTGGGGTGATTCCACCACATTTCCATCTATACGAATCAAAAAGAAGGGGTGTGCGTGTTTGTGAATAATCATAGAGAGAGAGAGAGAGAGGGAGGGGGGGTGACAGATTTGTTGGGACGGCTGCTTCAAGCGCACAGCGTCAAGCCAAGCGGCGTCAGAGCAACACCACAAAGAACACCGATGAAGGTGAGCAAAAGCAGCACGCCAACCTCAATGGTTCCGTCGGAGGGTCAGCGGGGGGTCACCACAGGTGGGGAAAACCAAATAAAAACTCCTTTCCTCTCCTGCACGCCGTAGGCTGTCACGCCTGTGGCATCCTATGGCTACATGCAGTGAAAACTAGAAAAGTTGGGGTGAAGTCTGGGCCCATTGCCCCAACGGAATATCTCACTCCACCCCGAACTTGCGAGCGCGTTTCTTTCTTGCAAAAACCTCCCGAAATCCCACACTGCCTGCTGGTGCCTGTTGGTGCCCAGTGGCCACGTCACCTCACGTCAGGACACTCCCTCCCTGCTCACTCCAAGGAACCACCCGGAGGCACTCCGTCTGCCGGGCATCCATGTGCATCCAGTGGTTCCGCGCCATGGGACCGCGGCGGTCGGCGGCGGTCAACGGGGGGGAGTGCCGAAGGGTCGGAGGACCGGAGGATGGAAAGGTCCTCCGGTCAGATGAAGTGAAGAGCAGGTGTCTCTCCCCCCCCCACTGCGAAGGACCGGGTGATCGGGAAGCCAACATCCGGTTCCAACATCCGGGTCGATGATGGGGGGTCAGTGATCGGGAATCTAAAAGGCACACGGGATCATCTGAGACCGGGAGATGGGGGGACAAGTGGCTTCGGGCTACGTGCTTGGCTGGTGAGTTGTGGAACGTACATTGAGCCCAACGTCTCCGGAAGACTGCGTGATACCAGCACCCTGGGGGGCCCCAGTGGACCTCTGTTTTGATTTCGGACGTTCTTTCGGACGTTCGACCACTTTTTTGGGTGGTTAGGTGCTTCTATTCTAGAGGTCACTCAGGCTCTATAGGACAACACCACATGCACCAGTCGAAGAATCTCACACACACCGCAAGGTCGCAGTATTCTCCTTTGAGTCAAGCCGTGCGAGGGTGGATCTGATTGGAGTGCAAGCCGAATTGGATCTGACCAGATCAAACCAACTCGACGCCTTCAGGACTTCGGCTTGAGGGGCAGCAGAGGAGTGCAGCGAATATAGTCCACATGCACGGACCCCCGAACATCCCGCCGCCAACGCCCCTCCACAGCGAGCCGGACCCCCTAACCGCCACAGCCACCGCCTCTATGGTGTCGCAGGAGCATCGTGCCCGCCCATGAGCCAAGATGTTCTGTGAAAAGCCACTCTGTTCACTGCCCCTTCGCAAGCTGCTTGCATGGCAAACCCGTTCAGGATCTGACCCGCGAGAGGTGCAATCCCACTAACATCACTAACAAAAGTGGCGCCAGCGTAGACCCCAAATAACAAAACTGCCATCCAAGCTGCCAAGCGCACACAGGCACCTTTTCCTATCTGGATAAAAGGGGATTGAACCCAGTGCGCCCTCTCATTATTAGTAGGGATGTTACAGTAAATCTCTACACATACGGCGTCTCTCAAATTCCTTTCGGCGTCTCTCCTCTCTACACCCTACAGTGACGCATTTAATGCATATGGACTTCTTACTCCGGTCGAACTTTCCAGGTTTCCAGGAACCTGCATTGACTGCAATACGATCGACGATCGCCAAAAAAGAAAGCAGCATCTCTTAAACAGATTCTATGGGTCAGTTGTGGTACCACTGACACATGAGTTGAAAATCAGCTCATGACGGTCAAGTGCCTGTATAGAAAATACTCAGTACTCCATATTCTCAAGGTCTTAAAACAGGGTCTTCGATCGAGCCGTTGGAGTGCCACTTCGAACTGACCCTGAAGAAGCTAGAAAACGACGCGCACCGAATGGACTTACACCATCTTATACCAATTGATTCGTACCGTTTTCACATCTGGCTGAAGGTCAAGGTCAAGGACTGCTATGGAATATAGATTGGATTTTAACTTGGGCACCAAGTGGGATACAGTCGCATGTCAGAATGCTAATGACCATGGCGACAACTCCACTCTTGTCTTGGGCAAATGCTCGTGAAGCGTTGCCAGCTGTCCAGCCTCTGCCCCAAAATCATTCAAGACCCTTTTTCGAAGCATCCCAGGGTGTCAAGAGTCAAGACCCAGTACAAATCTCAAAGAAGAAGCTTTGTACAAACACATGGGACCTTCTTTGGCGGCATCACGGCGGCCCTGGGAGTTGCTGAAGCCCGCCAACCAGCCAGCGCAAACTTTGACACCTTTTCTCCGCGGCTGGTGACCCGAAGCTGGCTCCATTCAAGTTGGCTCAGTCACTAACCTCCCGAGACTATTTGTGCTCCCAAACGCTTCACCAAGCCATCCAAATGAGGAGCCAAAAATCCGAATTCTGCCTTCACGTGAGCAAGCTCTGCCCATGCTTGGCATTACACAAGGGTCGTTCATCATTCCCAAACATATGGCTTACCTGGCCCAAATTCCAATTGAAAAGAAGAAGAACTGACACCAGTCGGAGTCCTGATTGGCACAGAACTGTGATTATCAAGACGCATGTCTGGTGCGACCTCAACACCTTCCCCGCTATTATGCGCCCGGAAGCGTCACAAACCCCTGCTTTGGCCCTGGCCTAACCTACACTTGCCACGTCAATCCTCCGACCCCCACCCGACCGGACTTCGCGCGCGAGTCCGCGCCAGCGCCGGGGTGGGGGGGAACGGAATGCTGTTTTCATCGAAGCATCCAAGGACTGACCTGAATTCAGTGAGACCGCGCCACAGAAGTCCATCCCAAGCCATGGATCTGTTCAATGGCGTCATGCATCGTGCGGTGGTGTTGGACCGCCACCCGCCCCCCGAGGCGACCTGGACCGTCATGGAAGCGGCCAAGCACGAGGTGGCTTTGACCATCGACCTATGAAACGGCTGGGTCTTTCGATGAGCAGACCAAACAGTGTGACCCTGCCCATGTCTGAGACAGTTCTTGGATAGTGATTGGAGGGCTTTGGCAAACTACCCAGCTTCATCCAACGTCTTATGAGATCCGCGGTGGAAAAATCGTTCTCCACCTGGCCACGTGGGGCCACGTGGCAACCAACGTTTTAGAACATAAAAGTGGAACCTCAAGGCTCCCAGCGGCGGCTCCCAGCGGCGGCTCCAAGCGCCGCGACATGCTTTTGTTCAGACCCCGGGGATCCAGGTGGATTTTGGAACGGGAGAACCGACCGAAGGCCGAACGGATCCGAACCGGCGTGCGTGGTTGACCTCGGTCTTGCGGGGCGCCACCAAGCCTCAAGCCTTCTTTTCAAGCACGGTGGCTTAGTTGAACGTCACGTCCGCAGGGCGCATGAATCTCTCAGTCCCGTTTTGAGCCCAAAAACCTCGTGTCAAACGAACGCGGCCTTGGGGAAAAGATTGGGCAAGAATTGCCCCGGATAGACCCCAACCCCAGATAGCACAAGACAATACAAGACATTTGTCTAAGAACATCATGACACACCTGGCTCTTCCAACTGTGACCACAATGCCCACCTTTTCATGTCGCCCGCCCAAGGGCCAAAATATGCCAAAATCATGTGGCATGGTTGGACAAGCGACGCGTCCTCGGTGACATATCAGTGACATACCAAGAGAGGTTAAGTGACCTGAACTAGGACCTTGCTGGGGTACCTATGGCATAGTCGAACTAAGGTTCTTCAACCTCTGTTGGTATATCTTTCGCAAAGGCTTCGATCTCTCTGTAGGATGACCTCTGTGAACCTTTTTCTCCTCCGACTTCTCCGGAGGATGGGGCTCAGGCGGAGGGACGCGCGCTTCAGGCAGCGATGTTCTTGGTCTGCTTCAAGAAGGACCTGGGTGAGATCCCCTAAATCACATCCTCTACCTCCCTCAGTTCAGTTCACCACCTGTTTGGTCTCCGGATTTCGTCATCCGAAACCAGGGCCACTTTCCCCAATCCACGTTGGCGCATGATTCTACGTCAGCATCACAGCATCACCCGGGGGGTGCTCCACATCGAACACCACCCGTCTTCCGTTCCTCCCGTCTCCACGTCGCCGTGAGGTCGCGCGCCCCAAAAAAGGCCACCGGCCGGGGCCCCTCCGAGACTCCGCGCTGCAGGGCTTGAAGACGCGCGTCGATGTCACAGGCCTGGAGAACGCGCGAACGCGCAACGGCGAGTCCGGTCCACCGGGGACGGAGGTTGAAGCACCCAAATGTAGAAATGGCACGTCCCCATGACCAATCCAAAGCATCCATTAAACATGCCAAACACCCGACAAAGATCGGTCCCCTCCCCCATTGAAACGGCCTTTTCTTGACGCAGGATGCCTCCCCCGGACCTTCAGAACACCACTTCGCCACTTCGAAGCTACCCCCCCGGGCCGACGCGCGTCGATGCTGGGCGCCTCGTCTTCCGGTGGCACGGACGTCCCCAGCCCCAAGTCGGCCGCCACGGCGAAGAGGCTCCCGGGCCTCGGGGGAAACACGCGAACGGCACATGACGGACGCCGTCGGCGCTTGGCATGTCCCGAACTGGTGGGGCACACGGAGGGCCGGGAACGGATTGGATCAAAGGAACTGGAGTGGCTGGGAACCATGGTGGGATGTCAAGCTAGCATGGTTTTTGGTGAGGTCTTGACCCACAGCTTGCTTCCAAGTGGGGGAGGCACGTTGGATGGACAAAACGTGGGAGTCATCGTGGGTATCTCTGACATCTCTACATGAGCTGAGCTGGTTTGGGGTGCAACAGGATGAGTCATTGTATAATTTGTATACACAATGGGCACTACGACTTGCACCACCGGCTGTGTCCACCAACGATTGCAGGTTGTTTAAGCTCTTACTTCAAATCCCTCCAATCCCTGCCACGGACGAACTAGTCACAGAAAAGAAATGAATTTGCAAGGACAAACGGCAGCGGAAAATACAGCGTCCCCACCCAAGAGTTGCCCCCAATCCATCCAGACCTCATCCAAAACGCATCCAAACGCTCCATCCGCGCTGAATTGAGGCCCAAACTGATGCACAGCGGGCGCCTCGCCGCGGGTCGCACCGCAGCCCCCACTGCTCCCAGCCGCACCCGCGCGGATTCCGGAACCGTCCCATGGGACCCAACCCGCCTCCACGGGCGCCGTGGGAGTGATGGCACCTGCGACAAAGGAGAAGGAGCACCAGAAGATGGGAATGAGTCGGAAGGGGGAAACACCCATCACACCGCCAAAACCCCTTTGGGGCAAAAACCACCGAAAACCCCCACCGAAATCTCAAGTGCACAACTAAGAATGACACAACTCCGGCAACTCCTCCTCCACCGGAGCCTCCATAGCGCGTGGACACCGGCTTGGTGGGACCTCCGGCACCAGCACCTGCGGAACGGAGAGCGACGCGGAGAGCGACGCGGAGAGCGACGCGCCTGCGCTGTGGCGCTCTCGGAGGCTGAAGGCCGAGCCTGAACACGCGGCCGGGCGGCGGGGGTTTCGACGACGACCTATCTGTGCGGACATGAAGCCGTGGGGTCCGATAGTGAAGCCCATCCTTTCGTTGCAGTGGACCGAAGACACAACTGAGAAAAGAGCACTATACATCACGATACCTGGATCTTCCAACTGTTACAAACGTTACGCCTTTTCATCCATATATATTTTTCTATCTTTAAAAACCCTGAACTCTGTGGCTGGGCTCCGTGGCTGGGGTGTGTGTCCAGGCCTTGTCCTCCTCTTGTCCTCTGTGGCTGGGCTCTGTGTCCAGGCCTTGTCCTCCTGTTGGCCGCGCCCCTGAACTCTGTGGCTGGGCTCTGTGTCCAGGCCTTGT